GGTGGTTTTCTTTAAAAAATATATAATTGTACCTTCTGGAACGCTTACCTGCGGGTTGGGAGAGATGCTTGTCCCTGGACAAGCGTAAATCCCGATCTGCAAGTAATCCTTTCATTTTTTATTACATGTGGACAGCCATAGACAGATGTCAGCTTGTCATTCACTTGAATTAGCACAGTGGCCACATCTGTATGGACCCACCTGGAATGCCTGCCCTTAATAATCTGCAGGTTCTTGCCGCAGGAATCCCCAGATGCACATAAAAGCCCCATGTGCATGTAGCCTAAAGGTAGACATTTTTAAACCATTCATATAAACACATATACTGCTGCAGTGAGCTTCTCAATTCAAATGAGATACTTGCCAAGGACATGTCACCTGGACAAGGAAGCCAAAATGCAGCTTTTTCCTTTTTCAAACACTGGGGCCTGATTGTATTTTTATAACATTCAGTCCCTACCATTTAGCAGTCTCTTTGAGAACATCACTGCAGTGACCACTAGCATCCACGGAACAGAAGCAGGAAATAATCTATAATGCAACTGGCTAAAAATCCTTGCAATGTATATAAATAACCTTGAGAGGATTGTTGTTTTGCTTAATACAAGTAGAGTTCCACTTTAAGTGCTTTTACATAGAAGCTCTCAGTCATTTTGGTCCCCAGACATTTCCATATAAAGTAAACAGGATTGTCCAGGCATTGAAAAAAAGAGACCTCAGGGGTGAATATCTGCTCCGCAGTTGTGCTCTGTGTTCTCTCTGCCATTGCCAGCTTGTAGAAGGTTGTTATCAGAGGCTGCAGCACTAGAGAAATACCCAGGCAGATAGGTGGTGGAGTGAACTGGTAGTGGCAGTGGTTTCCCTCTGGCTGCCATGCTCAGGCACACACTGTTGGTGGTATGAGACAGCACTCCTCCATAGTGACAGCTGCCACCTGTGCTGGTCATACGGGACTTCTGCTTCAGATCCAGCGTTAAGTTCCTGCGGAACCAAAACTTGCGCACCTCTGCCTGCACCTATAATAAGAAGAGGTGTTAGTGATAGAGCTGCTGTTTGTGGTTTTGAAAGCTCAGCCTGCCTTTAACTATTAGGCTCCACTATTTCATATAAAAAAGTTCTTCAGTAGCCACAACGGCTATAAATCCACTGCGTGCACCAAATGTCTTTGCAACCCCTGATATTATCTGGTAAAATGAACAGTGATATCATTACTGTGCTGCGCAAAGCCTGCGCAGAGAGTGTTCGCATCTGTGGCCTGTAAAGTGTTATAGTGGGAAGGTTCATTAGCATTTTAATGAAATACTGCTATGATATTAACCTGCATTGAACAGTAGTGGGACACTAACATGTTTCAGGCACTCACAGCTGAAAGGGGATAGCACAGGTTATGCTATTAGATAGTCCCGGTTGTTGGCTGGAGCCTGTAAGTAACACCAGTCTCTGCAAAACCGCAAGCTCTAAATAGCATTGTTACCTTCTCCATCCCCAGCTATAACAGGGCAGGGGTGTGCACAGTAGGGTGACTTGATTTTGCCATGAAGTTACATTGTACTAATTTTGCTGACACTCATTGAGTTGCTTAGGTGAAATTTGCTTGAAATAATAAACTACCAAATAACTACTAATAAACTTTTTTTGTGTGTGTTTGTGTTTTTTCTCTTTTTTTTGTGTGCATTTGGTTGATATCTGTGTACTGTTACTTTACATTTTCTATTGTATTTGTCTTTCTGTCAAAACAGTAAAACAATGAGGCTGAAAAGGGCCGTATTTGGCAGAAGAACAGGCCCAGGATAGTTGAACGTAGCGTTCGTAACCTTCAAAAGCTTCACTGAGCAACAAAAACATACAGTATATATGACACAACAGGACTCTCACCTCTCCATTGCAGAAACAATAGATAATGGCCACAAAGAACCCCTAAGAACAGAAAACAGGAAATGTCAGGATATGTGAAGAAAAGAAGAAGCAGCTGCATGTGTACAAAACACACATAATCTGATCTTATGGGGAACCATTAATAGAAACAGGAGTGCCAAGTACCGTATTTGCAGGCGTATAAGACGACTCGGCGTATAAGACGACCCCCTACTGTGTTAAAATATAGGTTTTTGGCTATACTCGTCGTATAAGACGGGTATAGCCCAAAATAATGTCTAAATGCACCCACTAACATCCATGGCGGTATTCGCGAGTGTGGCTCGGGGTTAATTTTCAGTACCATAAGCGGTAACCCCGAGCCACACTCGGGATTACAGTCTCTTACCTTGTCCGCGAACCCCGCTGTGTCCTCCGTCTTCCGTCCCTTGCGAGCGTCCGCGTCACAGGGGGGCGGTACCGCCGGCAATTTAAAAAGTAAAAAAAAATAGAACAAAAAATATAAAAATAAAATCATCAGACCGCCAGGGAGGCTAATCTGTCAGCCGGCAGGCTTTGTATTAATGAATTCAGGCTTTGTATTCATTAATACAAAGCCTGCCGTGATTGGCTCAGGCCGGTATACTGTATGTAGCCAAAGCTACATACAGTATACAGTATACCACATCCATACCCGGCGTATAAGACGACCCCCGATTTTCAGGCGATGTTTTTAGGTCTCAAAACCCGTCTTATACGCCGGCAAATATAGTATACAAAAGCAAATACTACAGTCCACCTTCATTCGATTGTAGTTTAAAGGAGAACTATGAGGTTGGTGCTTTTCACTCACCTCATAGTTCTAGCCGACCTGTGACAATGAGACTGTCACAGGTCGGCTCAGTAGATCGGGAGGTGAGCGAACACATACCGGCGTTCGCTCACTTCTCGATCCTGTCACTGCTCTCTGCCGTGACAGGGGAGGGGCTGGATTCCCCACTCCCCGCTCCGATCCTCCAGCGCTGACTGGCGGAACGGACGGGGGAGGGGGTGGGTACAGCTGGCTCTGCCTCTAGATAGGCAGAGCCAGCTGTCACTCACGCAGCTGGGCGGATATAGACATAATTGTCGGGATCCACTTCAGCTGCGGCATCTCAGTATACCGCCAGCTGTAGCTCGCTGTATACTTAGCTTAGGGTGACGGGAGGACGCTAGTTTGTGTCCTCCCGTTACCCTAAGGAGAACTATGGGGGAAAGCCCTAACCCCATAGTTCTCCTTTAAACTGGGATTTTTCTGGGATCTGTTTATTGATGAATACCATTAATGTAATAATGTAATAGGGACTTGTAACACAAAGGGGTCTATTGATAAAAATTTACAGAGCCTATTCGTCCTGCAGATCTCTGTGAGCATTTGTTCTCTTTTCAGGTCAAATGTAATGTAATACTGCATTATATCCACTAGATGGCAGTGATGAGCATAGGAAATATATACTTATTCGCAGGGTGAAGGACTCTGAATTTTTATAAATAGACCCCTTTGTGTCCTATTTGTCCTGGTGATGGTTCCAGACAGATAAAGGAGGAATATTCAGTGTTTTACAGCTGTCTCCTGAATTGGAATAGAAAGTAAATTTTCCATTGGGGACACCTGTTTTGCTGCCAAAGGAGCAAAAGAAAAAACCCCAAAAAGCTGACTGTGATTTTAAACCTTCCCTGCTGTAGCTGGAAATTAAAAAATGTTTTGGCTTTAAAGCAGAAACCACCACAGTGGAGAAGTGCATTTTGTTTGTATTTGAGATGCTTAGCTTTCACAGGACCCCAAAAGAATGATGTCACCCTCACCTAGGCAATCGTGCCGGAAGCTGGGTACAAGGAGAGTATTGTTTCCTTCTTTCTCCCAACAATTCTCTGTTTTAGGTATATAATCAGTAATGGAAAACCCTTTAGCTTTAGTACCTGGGAAGAGTTAAAGAACATTTCATAATGCATCTGGATCTGCCACAGCAACCCTGTCACCTCTGTATATGGAATGGCCATGAAGACAACATAATGTACCCCAAAGAGCGGCATCAGTACCAGAGTGGACTTCAGAAGTTTCCTGTATAGAAGACACAGATGTTTATTAGCTGCCATAAGAATGCCTGTAAACATGCACACACTGTATAGATGAATAACATTTACCAGAACAGCATGCTTACTAAAAGGCCCATTGCAACATATGCAAAGGTCAAAGCAGAATGAGATGGGTATTTTACACGCAGAAGACTTAAAGAAGAACTTCAGGATTCTTTTAAATGAGCCCTTGCAGTGGGGCCAACCCCGCACTGCAAGGGTTAAGTGCTCATTTTCGTCTAGGGACAACAAAATAAATTAATCTGTTCCTCGGTTCTGCCTGGCTGCTAGACTGATCCCCGCAGCCTCTTCTTCCCTGGGCTCCAGTGGTCTAAGGACCCATGACGTCCTCACATTTAATGCAGGTCCATTAGACATGAGGACGCCAAGGGACACTTGGATAGAGAGAGAGGTGAGTGGTCATTGGCACAGGACCGTGAATCAGGTGAGTGTATCTTTTTTATTTTTGCCCTTAGACCAAAATGAGCACTTAATGTAATTTTTCTTTAAATTGAATTCTTCTTTAAAGTAAATATTTCCTGAAATAAAGATATTTTATATACTGCAATGGGTTTAAAGTCCAACTCCAGCCAAAATGTTTTTAAGCTATGAATTGAGTGGAAAAAAGGTTTCCTTTGTTACTTTTTGCCTGTCTTTTTTCCCCATTGAGAAGATCCCCCTCTACCTCCTCTTTCTGTTTGTTAGGTGTCTAACAGAAAACTTTTGGTTGGATTAGAGCAACCTGGAGTTTGTATGCTCTGAGTGTTCGTTCAAGTAACTATGAGTTCCCCAGTATATTCCCACACACCAAAAATAAACAGGAACCTTAAAAGACTTTTATTTCAAATGGCTGATGTGTGTAAGATTGCAGCAGAAGAATTAGATCCTAAGCCTATTGGGGTCAGAGGCCGATTTGAATGATTATTTGTACTCTGTACCCCAACATTTTTGAGCGTTTTCATCAGACATATATTTTAGACAAGTGTGCCCATCCAACCTTGAACAGTATGGGGAAGTCTGTTTTCTGTTCCAGCATGACTCTGCCCTGTGCACAATGCCAAAAGTCTTACAAAAACTCCTTTTGGCTGAATTGTACTCAAATCCCACAGATAACCTCCATAATCTTGTAGAAAGCCTCATGTGAAGAGTGGAGGCAGTTACAGCTGCAGGAGGGGTTTAAATTAATGGTCACGGTATGGGATGTCCAACAGGTTCATATAGGTGAGATGGTATATTTATTACAGGTATTTAAACAGTGCTGACATTTTTCACATAGCTTTACTTATGCACATCAGTCCCTGCCCTCAAGGAGCTATAATCTATGGTCCTTATCTCACATACATATACACACATGCTAGGGCCAAATGAGACAAGAGCCAGTTAACCTACTAGCATATCTTTGGAGTGTGGGAGGAAACCAGAGTACCTGGAGGAAACCCATTTAAGTACAAGGACAACATGCAAACTCCATTCAGGTAGAGTCCTGGTTGGGAATCGAACCAAGGAACCTTGAATACAAGGCAGGAGTGCTAAACATATATAATATAGATATACCCCTTAAATACATAAATAAGAGAAGAGCATGTTTCATCACCCATATTGCTGTCGTGGGTCAAGTTTCCCAGTTGTAGTCTCCCACAGTTTTGATGCCAGAACTCTGACAATGTTGAGGAAAAGGAAGAAATTGATCTAGAATTAAAAATAAGACAGTTTTGTATTTCTCACCTGAGTCCTAAACATATAAGCCGTGTCACATTAATCACAATATATATGAACAGGATTCTCTGTTATTATAAAAACTGGAGAAGCAACAATTGTGTTACCCATAGCATTACATCAAAGAGAAAAAATGGAAGATGTTCACTTTAAAATAAACATGTCGTGACAAATATATGGGGCCTGCCTTTGAAGATGCTAGCTGCCTGACTAATGTGCCATCAGTCCTTTACTAAGCTGCTGACTCAGAACAAGTATCCAGATCATAAATGTAAAGTCGGGTACACATGGTTCGCGTTTTGGCCAGTTCCTGATATACCCACCGACATTTATACCATGGGTGCCGCTGTTGGTACCCTTCTGCCTGGCATCCCTCAATTAGATGACGGAAGGAGCAGATTGGAAAATTCTCGGGCGAATGAAGCTATTCTGACAGCGGCAGAATACAGTGCAAACAGCAGGGGATTGATCTGTCAATGTTTGTAAGCGTTGATGGAGGATTCTGTTCTATTTTTTTTTTCTCTCTCAGCCCGCGGGTAGAACACAAAAAAATAGAACTGTGTACACCCCACTTAAGAGAAATGCAAGTAGTATTTTCAATAGAAGTGAGCAATGACAGCCACCATTATTTTCTCACATCTTAGGAAATGATAACATACGTACCACTGATGGAATGTCTATTGTTTTATACATTATGTGACTTTGTACTGTATGTACCTTATTGTCTCCTATTTTAAGGAATGATTCTTGTAAAAAAATCAAAAGTAAAACTACTTGCAAAATATACAATCTACCAATTTCTACCTTCAAATTGTAGATGTTTGGCACACAAGTTGATGATATACTGTATACTGCTGTGAAGAGTGTGAAGAGTAATTCAGTAAAGACACAGTACAAATTATGTACATTACATATACAATATAATGCACTCAGGAGGACCTCACTAATGTGTTGCAAATTTAAAAGCATGGTTGCAAGCATATGGGAAAATATGTGAAAGGAATAGTGTCAGGGTGCCCCTGTGTGATGTAGTCACCCAGCCTTTCTAAATCATGATTCCTTCTGAGGAGGCTAGGGGTTCCCTAAAGCTGAACGATAGGTCTAAATTTTTATATACAGTGTGACGACTTTCACTATCACTAACGGAATCACTGCTATCTCTCGGCTCAATGGAATCTTTTTCATTTCGTGAAATCTTAACAAGGAATCTATCCAATGTGACATTGCATTGTTGTTCAACAGACTCATCGCTCGCACTGCTACAGCCTTATTCGGATGGTGCTTTTCTACAAAATTTTGCTCTTATTGCTAGACATTGCTTGTATATCAAGGCAACATTTTTTCAGAAATGTTTGCTTGTCTTGCAAAACGCTCTCAAACCAAGTTACTTGTAAACCAAGGTATTACTGTATATCTACTGTACATTGGTCCAAGCTGGGGTATGCATATTTCATACCCGGTACGCCTACGGGGAGCTGTATGCATATTTTATACCTGGTAGGGGTCTAAGGGTAGGTGGAGCTACTACAATGCTTTACACCGATCTTTAGAGTCCTGTATGACGTTGTGCTGAGTTACTTCCCCTATGCAGTAAAAACACAGGGGGTTGGATGTTCCACAGAGTAGCCATTCAGAGAACGCCTAGTATTTTTACCAATGATTTCCAGGTGTTTTCTGATTAGATGAGGGATGGCGCATATTTTTACAGCAGAGAGGAAGTTGCTTAGTGGCATACAGGACCCAAAAGATCACTTGATCCCTGTGGGCCGATCAAGTATAAAGGCCATGTATAGGCCAAACTGGACTAATGTAAGTATACTTTATTGCTGTAGTTTAGCTATCATCACTGACTATGCACTGCTGTGCAAGTGGGCACTTCTACACTGACCACTAATGTTAGGGAACACCATTATCTTTCATTTCTTTATTACCACAAATAATGTTGCTATATACAGCAGGAAGGTGTATAAAATGTTCTGCCCTGCTTGTCGAACAAAGTACAGTATGCAACAATATTTTTTTATTTTTTTTTTAAATCTACAACTTACTGATCACACTAATCTTCTATGAACTGTAAGTATAATCATTTTTAGTAGGGGGGACCTATAAAATTATTTCAAGGGATCCTCCATGGTATAAAGGCTGAGAAAGGCTGCTCTAACCTATGAGAACAGTGACAGTGAGACATTACTGCATGAAATAAATAGGGAATAGGCTTACATGGAGATCTCCCAATCTCTTAACATGGTGTATACACATGACAAAAGAAGATCGGCATTCACCATGCACATGTACCAAATACACCACAAAGAAAAAAACATGTGTCTTCTTTTTTAGAAAAATGAGAAATCAACTGGAATTACTTGATAATATGGCTTGGACATCATGATAATTTCTCCCCACATTTTCATCAATCACACCAAATAATTATTTTATACAACCACACAAAGTCCCTACTGTTCCTGACCAGGGCCGGTGCAAGGATTTTTGCCAACTCAGGCGAAGGTGCATTTTGACGCCCCTCCCGCACGCACGCACACACCACGCCAACATCCCCATACAGCATACATTATATCTGTGCTCCATTAAGCTTTAGTGGTTATGATGCTTAAAGTGATCGTTTAACTTATTTATCTTTTACAGAGATAACTTATTTATCTTTTACAGAGTTCACGGACGTATCGGGCCGTTCCCGGGAAGGACAGGCTGCTGCGTGTGATTTGTAGGCAGCAGGCTGTTCTTCTCTATGGCAGGACGCGGCCGTACGCTCAACTGAACTGCTTGTGCCCCCATGTCATCCTGTGTCTTCATGTCATCCTGTGCCGCCATGTCATCCTGTGCCCCCATGTCATTCTGTGTCTCCATGTCATTCTGTGTCTCCATGCCATCCTGTGCCCCCATGTCATCCTGTGTCTCCATGCCATCCTGTGCCCCCATGTCATCCTATGCCCCATGTCATCCAGTGTCTCCATGCCATCCTGTGCCCCCATGTCATCCTATGCCCCATGTTATCCTGTGCCCCCATGTCATCCTATGCCCCATGTCATCCTGTGTCTCCATGCCATCCTGTGCCCCCATGTCATCCTATGCCCCATGTCATCCTGTGTCTCCATGCCATCCTGTGCCCCCATGTCATCCTATGCCCCATGTCATCCTGTGTCTCCATGCCATCCTGTGCCCCCATGTCATCCTATGCCCCATGTCATCCTGTGTCTCCATGCCATCCTGTGCCCCCATGTCATCCTATGCCCCATGTCATCCTGTGTCTCCATGCCATCCTGTGCCCCCATGTCATCCTATGCCCCATGTCATCCTGTGTCTCCATGCCATCCTGTGCCCCCATGTCATCCTATGCCCCCATGTCATCCTGTGTCTTCGCTGCCAGTGCCAGGTCCCATTAGCAGCGAACTTTCCGGGTGGAGGAGAAGAGAAAATAGACAACCAAAGCGGCAGAAGTACCCCCCCCTGTGCCCCGGGCGGCTCCCGAGTCCCTTAACAGGTCGCTGTCGCCTCCAGGATGACGCCGCCGTTGCTCCTTCCCATGCAGCTGAGCGGCCAGGGGAACCAGGGGCGGGGCCACTTACGTCACTCACTGACGTAGCCAAGGACGAGACAGACTAAGACTGTCACTGCACAGGTCAGCGCCGCTGCGGCCGGCGGGGACTCGTCCTTCAGATGCCGCCCGCAGCGGCAGCCCACACTGGTCTCGTTCGGACGGCCGGAGCCGGACTTATGCCGGGCGGCCGACTGTCAATTTTCCGCCCTGTTCCCTGGCGCCGTAAGGCAAGTGCCCATGTTGCCTTGCGCTAGCGCCGGCCCTGTTCCTGACACTGTACAGCCAATATACTTCTCCTCACCAGAGTTGCAGCTAGAATCGGGGTCTGGTAAATCCACTTCATGTGGCCGGCACTCAGGTCCCAGCACCTTGAGAAAGAAGGAGATCAGATAGGAATTATTACACAAAGAATATGTAAACCTTTCAGTCAAAATATTATATATTGCAGCTTAGCAGTGCTTAGAAGTGGTGGCTGCATTCGTTTTCTCCACTTTCTCCATGTAATGAGCTGGAGTCTCTCCTAGTGGGGAGGGGGACTGATGCACTGCCGCTAATATAATTGTTTTATTTCACAGTGGCATTATCTGAGTTGTGGGATCCGACGGAGCCTTCCCTCCCTTTTGTTTCTCCCTTACTGTTCACCCCCTTATGTCTCCACTTATTTCTCCACTTTCACCATGTAATGAGCTGGAGTCTCTCCTAGTGGGGAGGGGGACTGATGCACTGCCGCTAATATAATTGTTTTATTTCACAGTGGCATTATCTGAGTTGTGGGATCCGACGGAGCCTTCCCTCCCTTTTGTTTCTCCCTTACTGTTCACCCCCTTATGTCTCTCCTACCCCGTCTTGAGTTGTGTGTATACTTTTTACCCCCTCCTCCCTACGTTTAATGTTGTCCGGTCCGACTGGATGCAACACGGCCATATCGCCTCATACTATGCCTTTGGTAGGGAATGTATAGTACCCGAATTACAGCTACTGCTCCTCACAATGTGATGATGCCTTGATGTCTAACACCGCTGCCAACGTGACTACTGGATGGCAGGCATTCATGTATACACATATCTGCTATATATATCTGCTCAGTGAGGACATGTAAATACATCCCGAGATTCTGTATTGATATTTGGACGTGATTGCACTTTGTACTTCTGTACTTTTGTATTGATGTACTTTTTGTATTGAAAAAAACGTAATAAAATCTTATTATTTAAAAAAAAAAAAAAGTACATTTTCTCAATTTACAGAATATAAATGTTGATCTTGCCACAATCCCAGTGTCTTTGTAACTTCATGTTCACTGAACTGAAATCTCAACCATTGTTATCAGTTTTCCCAGCTATCCTCTATGAACTATAAAACACATCTTCCCTATGTAACGGAGATCAGGACAGAGGGAGGTGCTGGTGGTCTAAATCAGACAACGCTGCTCCTTCATAGATACAGTGAGTGTGCATTATTACACTAGAACAGGAATTGTGTTACTGGCAGGATCACAAGGTAAAACAGAGGGGAAAACAGCCTGAAAACATTATTCCGATCAGCCACCACATCTAAGGACTGGTAAACTGCCATATATTAAATATTTGTGAAAAAAAGTGATGGTTGAAAAATGTTTCCTCTAACACACAAAATTCTAACAGTGAATGTGGTCTTTTGGTGGGGAAATTAAACTCATTCCAAAATTGAATGTTAAAAAACTTAATTTTGAACAATATTTCTTACAGGAGAACTATGAGGTGAGTGTTTTTCATTCACCTCATAGTTCTAGCCGACCTGTGACAAAGAGACTGTCACAGGTCGGCTCAGTAGATCGGGAAGTAAGCGAACACATACCGACGTTCGCTCACTCCTCGATCCTGTCACGGCTCTCTGCCGTGACAGGGTAGGGGCTGGATTCCCCCCTCCCCGCTCCGATCCGCCAGTACTGACTGGCGGAACAGAAGGGGGAGGGGGCGGGTACAGCTGGCTCTGCCTCTAGATAGGCAGAGCCAGCTGTCACTCACGCAGCTGGGCGGATCTCGACATCGATGTCGGGATCCGCTCCGGCTGCGGCGCCTTAGTATACCGCGAGCTGTAGCTGGCGGTATACTGAGCTCAGGGTAACGGGAGGACGCTAGTTTGTGTCTTCCCGTTACCCTGAGAACTATGGGGAAAAGCTCTGACCCCATAGTTCTCCTTTAAGTCTCTGATGGCATTATCGAATGTGACCAGATTTTTCATACAAGCGTTTGAAATTTTAACCATATATACCCTGCTTAAAGTGGATTTCCACGCTTGCAGCCAAATTGGGATAAGACCTACTTTGCATTTGTTACATGTTCCCATTCACATAACGTAAAAATATTTAAAATTTGCAGCTTACCTTTTTTTGATGATGTTTCTGCAAACCCCAGGACTAAAAAATCCTGCTTAAATCTGTCTGGGGGCTGGGGGGGATTTTGTTTCAAGTAATTAACCCTGTCTGTACTGTGCTGGCAGATTTTCTTATTACTTGTTTACTAGCAGGAGGGTCTGTTCTAACAAAGGGTCAAAGGAGAACTATGATGATGAGTGATTTCCACTCATCCTCATAGTTAGAGCTGTGAAGCTGTCACAGGTCGACTCTATTGATCAGTTAGTGAGCGAACACATACCGTCGCTCACTCACTTTCCGATCATCTCCCTGCACTTTCCGATCATCTCACTGTCAGTCACCGCTCCCCGCAGGGATTCCCCTCTCCGATCCTCCAGCCCTGACTCTCGGAACGGATGGCGAAGGGGGAGGGCACAGCTGGCTCTGCCTCTAGATAGGCAGAGCCAGCTGTCACTCACGCAGCTGGGTGGATCTCGATAGTATTGTCGGGATCCGTGATCCGTCCCAGGCTGCACCGCTCCCAGTATATAGTTGGCAATAGCCCGCTATATACTGAGTTTTGGGTCACGGGAGGAGGTTAGTACATGTCCTCCCGTGACCCTAAAGAGAACTATGGGGAAAAACACTTACTCCATAGTTCTCTTTTAAAAACCTCAAGGCATTGTATATTCATGAACTTCTTTAAAAAATATTCCCCTTAAGTAGAGTATACACCGTTATATATTTTTCTCGTTCAACCTGTGGGCTGAACCAAAAAAAAAGATTACCATATTCCTCTATGCACACTAAACGATATGGATGGACGAATCTCCCGTGCTTTGTATTCTGACAGCGGCTGGGGTGCTGCTGTTTATCACGAAGTGGCCGAAATACACACAGTGTGTGGCCAGCTTTAAACTGACCATACACCTATAGTTTTTCTGCAGATTTTTTTATGGTCATATTGAAAAAGTGCAACAGATTCCCCCATCTACGCTAACTGTGTGAATGGAGGAATCTCCCACTGGGCCAAGCTTCAGGATCTTGCTAGTCAGTCCCACTGGCTGTCCAAATACCTGAACAATGCCTGTATCTAATCAGATTGTTCAGGTATTTAGAGAGAAGGGCGGGGCCGATCCTGAAGCTTGGCCCAGTGGGAGATTGCTCCATCCACACAGTTTAGCGTAGATGGAGGAATCTGTTGCACTTTTTCCATCTGACCATAGAAAATCTGCAGATAATCTTTAGGTGTATGGCCAGCTTTAGGCTGTCCCTTACTTGCTTACAGGCATCTAGTCCAACCACTAGAAGCTGCCTGTAGAGTCCTATGTATAGTTCTGTTCTAAAGAAACAGCTAAAAAGGCAAAAAATCTTTTATTTTTTTTAAATTATTTTTAGATAGGCTTAATGAATGTGAACCTTTAGACTCCATTTACACCTAAGTGTTAGCGTTTAAACGCCTTTTTTTGTCCAGCGTTTTAAACCTTTTTTGAGTGTGTCGACACACATTTGTCACACGTTTTTAAGTGTTTTGTTCAAGTATTTTTACACGCATCTTGAGCTTGGACAGAGGAAGAGGGGTGATTTTTGTGTTAACATGCATTTCCATTGAAGTCTACGAGGCCAAAAGTGCAGAAAAGTAGCTCATGTACTTTTTCCAGCGACAGACATTTTGCTAGAAGCGACAGGATTCTTAGATGTAAACAGTGGCCATTGAAAACAATTGAATTCCTCTGTTTGAGCGGTGTAGGGCTTAGTCCTTTCAGCTACAAGATGGCAGGTGTGAATAGGAACTTAACAAATACAGTATATAGAGGGTGTTTCTCAAATTTGGCGGCATATCCTTCAACGCAAGAATATAACAAAAGTAACACCTCTTTGTGACCTCTCAGTTTCTCATAGCTGAAGAAGTCTGACTCAGGAAAAAATAGCTCTTCCTCTAAGAAAAACATCCTCCCCTATTCTGCAGTATGTAAGCTGTGTTGTCAGTCATGGACGTGCAGAGGGTGAATTCTGATACATTGTTTGTGGTGGCAATAAGCACTGGACGGTATATTGGCTGCTCCCCCATGACATGTAGGTGATAATTGTGTGTATTTAGTCATTTCAGCAGATCCTCCTTATATTGTAAAGCGCTGTGCGACTATTGGCGCTATATAAATCCTGTATAATAATAATAATAATAATAATCCCCGTGGTAAAACAATATTCTGCCCCGGGCACCCATAACTCTGGTTGCGCCACTGAGTCAGACAAAGGTCAGGATTTCTTATCCGTATGCCTGTTCCAGACCAATGGCTTGACGTATTAAAGCCAGTGAGTCAGCATGAGGGCCAGTAATCAAGCATTTCAAGAAGGAGACATCAAAAAATGGCAGCCTCCAAGTTTTATTCATGACTGCATCCCCTTAAGGGGCAAGTTAGATGACAACGCATACTGTACATACTGTGTATCCGCAAGAGATACCCGTACACTCGCCCACACAGAGACAAATACTGAAGGGAGTCCTGAAAAAAATAAATTCAGATACAATAGTGAAAAGAAAACCATAGAAAACACACGGCTAAATTTAATTTTTAAATGTGCAGTTGTTATTATCTGGCATTCAGGGCGTCACTTTGAGCAGTGGTCTTGTACCAATGGGGAACACTATACTCCACTGACGTCTGTTATTACAATATATCTACACTCTGTTATACCGTTAGGCGAGCCATCCAAGGCCGATTTTTACTAGCTCAGCTCTGCTGAATCGCACGGCAATAAGCAGCTACTTGGGGACTAATAAAGGAACAATAATGAGCACTTGTGTGCAACAAAACTATTTGTGATCATTCACGCAGATTTCTAAGCACAGTTTAACTATCTACAACCTATTAAAGGAAGCCTGTATTGAGGATAATATGTAGGCTGCCTTTGCTTCTGAAAATGCTAATTGCTTGCCTTCAGTAGTTTCAAACTATCTGCCATGAAACCAGCATCCAGCCAGTGAGGTCAGATCTCCTAATCTGCATACATGCATTGTGTCAGGGTCTATGAAAGCCAAAAGGGATCAACGGGGCTGATAGGCATTTTTGAGAAGTCAGTAATAACAGTTACTTTATATCACTGAGTATAGGTTTCCTTAACAATGTTTTTTTAACCAAAACTTGTATTTTTTATGTAGTTTTAGATGGACTAGGGAAAGCTCCCAGCCCCTATCAGCTTTTGTCTGTGTCTATTGTTGTCTGTGTCACATTGGAGAGATTTCTCTTCATTTCTTGCGTCTGAGTCACAACGGGAAGTAAGAAGAGATCTCTCCAAAGTGAGGGAAATACCCTCTTAGCCCCCGTTCACAACTCTGCGATGCTGTAGGACAGGGGTAGCCAAACTCTTGCCCGCCAGATTGGTGGAACTACAATTCCCATGAGGTATTGCAAGATTCCCACAGCCACAGACATGACTCCTGGAGAGAGATGTATCATGGGATTTGTAGTTTCACCACAGCTGGAGTGCCCGGAGTTGGCTACCCCTGCTGTAGGGTGTATTGCAGTGCGCTCCAGTAGGGCAGCTCATACATTTGAATGCAAGTGCATGAATGAAGTGCAAGCACTGTTCTTTTTAAATTGTAAGTTACAATGTGATGTGGTGTGATACAACACACATGTGATTGCTAGGTGTATTGGGGGGCCACTAAGAAATAAATAATGGCACCACAGTGCACCTAACATGGAATGTGGGATCATGTGCGGCATTGCACGTACACCTGCATCACAAAGCACTGAATGGAGCCCTAGATAGCTGTCTTCAGAAATGGTGTCCCTATTGGAACATATTTTACCATACAGACTATTCCAGTGACAACTGTAAAATATTTGTTTTCCCACCGCTGTCACAAGGACTGAAGAGAAGGTAATTCTTCCCAGTGGGGACACAGAACTCAATAAACACCTTACAGATGTTTCAAACCTTCTTCACTTTATCCTACATATTTTCTGTAGTTATACATAGTGCAGCCAGCTTCTGCTGGGGAACCAGAAAACTTGGATCTTAAGCTGGCCATAACAGAGGAATTTCATTCAAACGTTTTTTTACAAACGCTAATTTCCATAGTTTGATTCCCTAGTTAATGGGGTTAAATCGATGATCAATTTCAACTGCAGTGACAAAAAATATCAAGGTGGAAAATACTTCTGGAATGAACAAAATTCTAACAGTGGATTTGGTTTTCATTCGAGAAACTCCATTCCTTTCCAAGATTGAATTGTAAAATCAAATCAAATATTCTACAGGTCTCTGATGGTATTATGAAATGCTCTGATGAGATTGTTTGTATGAAAGTTCGTTCTAAAATCTACCGGTGTATGGCCAGCTTTAGTGAATCAGGAGCTGATATGTTAAGATCAGAAATGGGGGGCATCTTCCCAACATGGTCTCATAGATCAGTAGAGGGCTGACCCATGTACCACCTAAACCGAAATTAAAAGAGCTGGATGGCGTTTGCCCTACGTGGACGAAGAGCGGCATCACATAGTTGCAAAAAAAAGGTAAAAAATATCCCACACATTAAAAACTACCAGATAGCACATTGACCTCTTATATATCCCTTGGAAACATCACCCCTAATCTCACCCCAGCCTATGATGGTGAGCGCCCAGAAGTAGCTGCGGTCAGACAGGTACGCCATGAAGATGAGGCTATGCAGGTAGAGGCCTTCCACCAGGATCCAGTAGTGATTAGTGGCCAAGAAGTATAGGAAGAGGGTGACCGTCACCTTGCAGCCCACCTATGACAGAAGACACACAGGCTGATTTCATCCAACAGGAAAGCAGAAAATGTGCATAGCCCAGAGCAACCATTCAGATTCAAATCCACCTTATTCTGCAAACTAAAAAGAAAATGACAATACGTGCTTGCTACAAGGAACCTGAAACTTCCTTTCCTTCACCTTTTATAGATCAGTACCATTGTATATTTTTCTCTCATCAAAACATCCATATCGCTTCAACTGGTCACCAACAGCACATTATATGTCTTATGACAGGTTTTCTTTGAAGGAACATTTCAACTTTCTGTGCAGATCCATTAATTAGGCCAATACTTCAATAGATCTCCCCATCATTAAATTTACTTCACCCCTGCAAGGCTATGTAAGTTGAAACTTCACCATTCCCCGCTTTGCTTAAAGAAGCAGATTTTTTTTACAATATATATTTTTTATGGTCCTGTCCCTACATACAACGTTACTGAAACCAGGTTAATACCATTTTAGAACCTAATATCTCTTCTCCTAAGGTATGTTTGCTAGGACCGGTGCATGATCTACAGTCCTCCCACTTTTTGTTTTTATACACCTGGAATGTATTTAGCTCACTTAAACTAAAGGTTCACTTGGGCTTTAAGGCTGGTTGACACATATGTGATACGGTAACATGTGGCAAACATATGACCCACTCCATAAAGAAAAAATACTCTTCTTCAGTACTCTTCTAAATGAACTCTTGCAAAAGAGTCAACTGTCAGTTTACCTTCTGTTAATGAACCTGTAAAAAGAGCTCAAGTGTTACTAAACCCAAAACACATGGTGGTTGAGAACACTAAGTAGGACTGGGATATAGTTTTAACAGGGATTGCTTAGTAACACTTTAACTGTCAGGTGATTAAACTAGAAAGTTAAAGGAAAGCTCAGGAGCCAAGTATTCTGTACTCTACCTATTGTTGGTGGGCCTGATCACACACAGATTTTCTTTCAAGTTCTCAAAACCCCTCCGCATACTGACTCACCCACTGGATCTCGGATGCCTTAGGCAGTGCAATTTCTCCCAGTTCATCCTCTATTACCCCTTCGTCCTCCCTGGAATAGAGCACCGCGTCTTTCAGTAATACGCTCCCTGCCCGGCAGATGAATGAGGTGAAGAGGTGGATGTGGATGTAATTTCGGGTGCAGTGTAAGCGCCTGCCACAATGGGAAGTAAATACAATCCAAGCAATTCACAAACAGGTATTATTGAAGGATAATTGAAATTTATTTTTACTACAAGATATAGATGACTACGAGATAGATATAGATTATAATACTTTTATAATCTAAGATCTTACTTGAAGTAGCAGAGTATACAAAGGGCAATCAGAAGCGTAGCCAGAGAGACTGAATATCCTACAGTGTATATTAGCCGCAGACGCTCAAACACTTCCTGTAGAGAGATGCAATTCACTTATGTCTGCTGACCCCCCCCCATGAATATCTTGGTCAGTATCAATCAAACACATATATAATAAATGGTTCTCATTATAAAAACAAAAAAGTCAAGGGATATCAGTGGGTGAATATATACCCATAACAACCAATCAAGTAACTGCTTTAATTTTGTAAGCTACATTTTAAAAATACATCTAGCTTCTTAATAGTTGTAGCAAATATTGTATACATGTTTTATTTTACACAGTTGCCTTATACCTTCTCCTGGGTCCTCCTCCCCGGACTGACCAATGTGAGGCACTCACTGTAGTTGGCCCAGGTCTTATTGACTCCTGGCACCTGAAGCCACATGCCAGAAGAGCCACATCTTCTATGAGCAAATCCTGAAATCAATCCCCCCAAAAAAAGAAATGCCTCAGAACAAGGAAAATCAGATGCTTAAAGAGCCCTACTATTGGTGAGGTTGTCGTATCTTTGCCTGCAACTACTTATGAAATAATCACCTTGGTGGTTGAAGTCATAGATGTGTTCTGGACAGGGAACCGAAACCAGCTGGTTAGGAAATCCTTGTGGCCAGCAGGTTATTCCATCCCATTCTGGAGGGCACCCTGAGATGATAAGATATGTATACTGAGTTTAGGTAATAAACTCTAAAATGGTTACATCCTGGCCCATTGGTTAGCAAAATGGCAGCACTTAAGTTCTGACTACTTCTTACCACCAAGCCCGTGTCTGTATTTTTGTATGCTGCTAGCGTGGGTTTTGTTTGGATTTTTAGAAGATAACTAACTTTTAGTACAGTTATTCTCTCAATGATTCCACCCAGCAACCCTCTGCAAGTTTTATACTTACATGCCCCCACTCCTTCAAGATCTTTGTTGCTGCAGAAGTCTCCCAGCAAGACATTCTTCCTCCCCATATATGCAGAAGAATAAGAATTCATTGCTATGGTGAGGCCGTCCAGTGGGTTGCACAGTAAAGATTTACACGGAATGCAGTTGACTTTGAGTGACAGGAGTAAGACTTGTAGGTGCGTGTTGGTGGGAGGGGGTCATTCATTTAGGATTACTGTATAAAAAGTACCCATGTCTAGTCAATGCATTACCTATAATCAAGCCTGAAAAACTGATGGTTTGCTTTCCCATATCAAATATTTACAGTGCAAGTGCCATCCCTTATATAGCAGTAATGTATAGGAGTGACTCCATTACTGACTAAATAAAGATATGGGTACACAAAGATATACATATTTTAAACACCATTCGGTAAGAAAAATATAGAGGCTGCAATTGGTGACCTCCTTCTGAAATATACCTGTTGAATGGCTGCTACCCTGTCCCTATGGCTTATGTAGCCCTCGTTACCTTTGTGAGGTGGTTACTAGAAATTTAGTGATTGCCAGAGCTGTAGTCAGCCTGGCTGGATTATAGTTGGCATTTATCTGTTTAATTACAGGTGTTATGGCATTGATTGTACCTACCTAGGTAAAGTGTGACTGTGCGGAAGTGTGGGAAATCCAATGAGGGGCACTGTGAGTTTATGTGCAGTTCCCCAGCCAATCACTGGGTCCCTCTCAACCAGTGTTTCATTTATATATCCTGAATCACTAATCTGAAACAAGTATGCAGATCAGGAAAGTAATGTCCTTAAATGTATAACTGTTCCAGGTCAGTGACTATAGAAGTATTGACTGAAAGGGGTGCATTTAAAAAAGGATTGCAGAGCCATTGTTCTGTGAAACTGCATGCTCAGGTATTCTGTGTGAAAGGAGGAAACAAAAGATGTTATTGGTATAATTTATTTCCAGGTCAAATGTGATATCAGAAAAATACCACATTATGGCCATTAGATGGAGCTGAGGGTTATAGAAAAACATATATTTCTTTCCTATGCTGCTCAGCTCCATATAGTGGCCAAAATGCTGTGTTTTACCTGATATTACATTTAAAGGAGAACTATAAGGTAAGTGTTTTTCACTCACCTCATAGTTCTAGCCGACCTGTGACAATGAGACTGTCACAGGTTGGCTCAGTAGATCGGGAGGTGAGCGAACACATACCGGCGTTCGCTCATCTCTCGATCCCTTCACGGCTCTCTGCCGTGACAGGGGAGGGGCTGGATTCCCCCCTCCCCCCTCCGATCCGCCAGCGCTGGCTGGCAGAACGGACGGGGGAGGGGGCGGGTACAGCTGGCTCTGCCTCCAGATAGGCAGAGCCAGCTGTCAGTCACGCAGCTGGGTGGATCCCGGCACAATTGTCGGGATCCGCTTCAGCTGCGGCGTCTCAATATACCGTGAGCTACAGCTCGCGGTATACTGAGCCTAGGGTGACGGGAGGATGCTAGTTTGTGTCCTCCCGTTACCCTAAGGAGAACTATGGGGAAAAGCCTCCATAGTTTCACAGGACTCTGCACATTTTTTTAAAACACCTCTAGGTGTTGACTAGAAGAAGGTTAATATGACAGCAAAGCAACTAACATTTTTAGAAGAATAGGTCAGCAATGGCAGCTTCCTTGTTTCTCTTTATATATGCTTTCCTGGTAAGACAATATTAACCATTTGAAGAGTTCTGTTTCCATTGGGAACTGTGAGCCAACACCTGGATCTGGCAGTGGCGCATTGCTTGGGACAGCAGGAATATCTGTTCATCCCTGGTGATGACATCATCTGTGTCCACCTAGAACAAGTAAAGAAAGTATTAATATACAGGAGATGACAATCTCTTGGAGATCGACACTCTCCTCTTCTTTTTAGAAGATACACGGCTATGTAAGGTGGAGGTACACAAAGTCATACTTAGCTATGAAAGCAGTGACAAGGAGTTTTCATAGTAAACCAGTTTAAAGGGGCAGTCCACTCAAAACAAATATTTTAGACATACTGTAGGTGGGGCCTAGTGACAGCCCCTGACTTTGTAAATGTTTTTAGATTAATACTAGGGTTGCACAGATACCAAGTACAGTACTCGGTACAAGTACGAATACATGTACCAATACTTTTGAGCTCCAAGACTAGACTAAAGAAAAATTCAAAAATTAGGAGGCAGCTGTCATTTGTAAGGAGCACACGGAGCTCCTGGGATTTGTACATCTCTGTTTTAATGTACGATTTTGGTTTTATAAATATAAATAAAGGGATGCACAGATACCAGTTTTGCGAGTACGAGTACTGGTACTTGCCGAGTACTTACAAGTACCGATACATTTTTGTTTATTGTCATGTGACAGTTTTTCTAAATCAATACAGACTAATGATTTCAGGACAGTGGTGGAGTGCCAGAGCCAGGTCCCAGCTGCAACCGCTGCAAACCTGGTAGTTCTCATGAAAATGACACGTATCGGCACTGGTACTCAAAAAGTATCTGTGCATCCCTAATTAATACCCCTGCTATAGCTTTCTAGCGTCTACAAAAAAAAATTCAACTGTTTTGCAAACAACTTAACCTGAAAAAGCTAATTTCAGGGAGGCGCCCTTCTCATTTCAGGGAGGTGCCCTTTCTGGGGTTTTTTCTATTTGGACAGTGGCCGCTGTCAACATAAAAAAAAACAGACAGCAGTGGAATCAGCAGATAGCAGGGAAGCTAATGCTTCCCTGCTATCTGCTGGTTTTTTTCTTTTTATTCTGACAGCGGCCACTGGGAAGTGTTGTAGACCAGCCGGGGGAGTAGAACCGCCAGGTATCCCGGAAAGGTTTACTCTGCTAGATAGAGTAAATCTTGCCGGGATTAAATGTTTCCCTTTCGGGCATCAGTGAACCGCTATCTTATAGCAGGAGACTCCGGGAACGTCCAGGACAGTCGGGATGTCTGATTTTGGGTGTACTAACACTTTAAATTGATGAGATTTGAAACATCATCACATTTTTTATATTACATGGCTGACAGGAGATAATATGGTGTGAGTAGACATGCTTATGTGTGAAGCATGCCCATGGTGTCTTCCATTAATTTACAGTGTGATTAAAGTGTTTCTAAAACCCATTAACCAAAATTGTATGTATTGCAGCTTAGCAGTCCTTACATATGGTGGCTCAATTGGTTTTTTTAACTCTATCCAGGCAGAGTCCAGGCAGAAACTGGCTTCAGGACAACCTGATATGTCTCTTTCTGCTGTTCTAAGTGAGACATCTGTCTGTATATACCCAACCTAAGGTTAGCTAAACCCGACTCAATAAGAATGCCAATCTGAGTGTTGCTTGTGGCCATCAGGCCATATAGTGGTGGGATATTCAGTATTTTCGATCACTAAAAGCAATTTTTTATTGTAAAAATATCAAATTTTCGACAAGCTGGAAGATCTGTTTGTAACTAAGAATAGAGGGTTTCCCTTTAAAAGAGAATATGAAATAAAGCTTTCACTGTTTGAATGTGCCGGCGCTGCATTCATCTTTTGGCTGAATTGGGGAGAGGTTTGAGGTTGGTACTGACACTATGTGAGTCATTTGAGGACAGGTACTGCCTGTTCTTTGCAGTACGACATTTATGGTCACACTGACAGGACTGGGAATATGTTACTGTGTTATTTATAGAAAAAGAAAAAAAAAAAAGCAATATTTTTTACATTTTGGCCTGTCAAGCTGATATATTCTGTCTACACAAGGGATATGATACACAGACAAAGGAAAAGCTTAAAATGTCTCTGAACCCAAAAGCAAAAATTTGATATTCTTCAGCTCATCAGTCCCTAGATGCCGTGGCTGCATTAGTTTTCAATATTTTCAGCCTCATTTTTTTTTCTACCTGGTGATCCTACCAGTAACCCCCTTCCTGTCCTAGGGTGATTGTACTGTATCCATTGAGGTGTAGCGTTGTCACCCTAATACAGGTTCATAGAATACCTCCCCATCTACTCTTCTTCATAGCATAGGGGAGGTGTTCTTTAGTCCAAAGAGAAAGCTGGGAACAATGCTAGTCAGCAGAGAACACAGGACGTTATCAGCTCACAAGATTTCTAGCAGGATCAACAGGTAGAGATATAACAAAATACTTTCAATTATATATCTAACAGACCAATAAGAAAAGTTTGTTGTAAGGGTTTACGCTTTAACAAAGTAACAAACGTCCTATCAGACAGTTTGGGTGTGTTGTACATGCAGTCTTTCTGATCTGAGCCTTTTACCTTTCAGATGTGAAGGAGCACTGAAACTGAACCTGTACCCAGACTATGCACACTAAGGTAAAACAAGCCCTCATTCACCTCTGCAGCTATAGGTATTTTGGGGAAATTCATCTTCAAAGTTCACGGAAGAGGCACAGACATCTGAGATATATTTATATTACTTTAAATTGCAGCAGAATCTTGGCAGCCTGTTAGAAACCAACTGAAACGTGACATTTCCTTTCAGCCATTCATTTTGGGCAGTTTAAAGTAACACACTTCAGGAGATGACAACACGTGTGATGCAGCACAGGGCACTGTGGTGTAAATTGCCCCTGATAATGAATTACTTACAAGCAGCTGTAAGTAGAATAGATTATTTTAAATATCTTTTTCTGCTTATTAAGAATATGTACTACTTTAATGTCCATATTCGGGACATGGGTTCTTTTTAAACTCCAGACAAAACTTTTGAGGAGTTAGGTATGATTAAAGGAGAACTATGAGGTGAGTGCTTTTCACTCACCTCATAGTTCTAGCCGACCTGTGACAATGAGACTGTCACAGGTCGGCTCAGTAGATCGGGAGGTGAGCGAACATATACCGGCGTTCACTCACCCCTCGATCCTGTCACGGCTCTCTGCCGTGACAGGGGAGGGGATGGATTCCCTCCTCCCCGCTCCGATCCGACAGCGATGACTGGCGGATCGGACGGGGGAGGGGGCAGGTAAAGCTGGCTCTGCCTCTAGATAGGCAGAGCCAGCTGTCACTCACGCAGCTGGGCGGATCTCGACATCGATGTCGGGATCCGCTCCGGCTGCGGCATCTCAGTATACCGCGAGCTGTAGCTTGCGGTATACTGAGCTTAGGGTAACGGGAGGACGCTAGTTTGTGTCCTCCCGTTACTCTAAGGAGAACTATGGGGAAAAGCCCAGACCCCATAGTTCACCTTTAAGAACATCTCTCAGGTTTTTATTGCTCTCTGAGGACTGGAATTACCGAGGACTTAAAGGGTATGCATAGCCAACTCTTTTTAGTTTGTTTTGGATAGAGTAGGGAAGGGTTAAATCCTGTCAATTTATTTTTAGCTGACATTGTCTCATTTGGGAGATTTCCCCTTCCCTTCCTGTCCAGGAGATGCAACAGGAAGTAAGAGGAAATCTCTACAAACTGATACAAATTCAGTTCCTTAACAGTTGCCTCCAGAACAGGGTTCCAGTTGGAAGATTTTCCTTAACCTCTTGTTCTGGTGACACCTGTAAATTTTGGAATTCCTATCACCATGGGTCACAATTGTCACCAGGACAAAGAGAGCGGGTGAATTTCCCCAGCTAGCACAGAGACAGCAATAAAGACCTCAAAAAATACATTAGATGTGCCTTTGTGTATACTTTAAGCTAACCATGCAATCTCTGCACAATCTCCTGTTTAAAGCTGGCCACAGACCTTACAACCATCGCAAGACTTTTGTCTTGTAAGGTAATTTAAAAAAACTTACGATCTGCCCATCTTGGACAGGCAGATCGTACTTGCGATAATCGCAAGCCCGCCCCGCTGAAGGGCGGGGCTTCCGATGACCGCAATGCTGAACAGGCAGTGTGCGCTTGCGCACACCGGCCCGTGCGGCATTTATCTTATGAACATGCCACACACCCGCCAACAATCGTACGATTCTCGGCTGGTTTTCGAACATATTCCTAAGATAAAAGTCTTGCGACCGTACAGTAAAAACGGTCGCACGCCTTCTACACACCTTGCGATAATCGTACGATCGCGGGATTTCCCGCGATTATCTTACGATTATCGCAAGGTGTGTGGGCACATTTAGATTTGCCATCCACTATGTAGTACAATCCTAACCAATTAGCTGCAGGAGCCAGCTGTCAGAATCCAATAACAAGCAGGGGAGATGTGCAGGGCTGAATGAGAAGAAATTCATGGCTAGCTTAAAGGGTATCTATGGTCAAAGACTAAAAATAATATGGATTTCTATATTGAATTCCCATAGGTTCTATCCCACTCCTAATACCCATATCCACCTAGAAGTTTATAAACATACTTATTGAAGATGTCCACAGAATGCACTTCCTGAATGCACTGATACAATTTCACTCAGCTCTGTGAATTTGCACTCCCTTGTGTCACAACTCTCACAGAGCCTGCTGTCTGAGCTACAACTCAATGTCTGAACATTGTAACATTATCATTGCCTGCTGGGAGCAATGCATAATGGGATATGTAGTCTTGAAAATTGAGATTTCATCATGTCAAGTAGCAGGGAAAGAGATGCAAAGCACACTGGGAATCCGAGTTGATGATGAAAGTGAGGGCAGACAGAAGGCAGCACTCACTATGTAAAAATGATTTTTTTTAAAGTAAGCTATGATTGCATTATCAAAAAACTAGAGCAGGGGTAGGCAACGTCAGCACTCTAACTGTTGTGAAACTACAAATCCCATGAGGCATTGCAAGACTTTGATGGCCACAGGCATGACTCCCAGAGGCATGATGGGATTTTTAGTTTCACCACAGCTGGTGTGCAGAGGTTGCCTATTCTTGAACTCTAGTATGTATTCTCATTACAATACTGATGTTATAACAGGATAGGATATGCTGGGACTTTAGAACTCCTTTAACACGGTAAAGCTGGACATACTCTGGGAGATTTGTGTACAATTTACACAAACAATCTCATTGGAACATTGGATAATACCATCAGAGACTTGATAAATGTCATTTTTACAATTGATTTTGGGATGGATTCCTGAACAATAAGCCACATTCACTGTTAAAACTCAATTTGTTCCCATCCTGCTGACAATGTTTTTAGCCACTGTGGTTGAAAACGATTGTTGGTTTCATACCATTAACTTCTCGAAAATCGAACGAACGTTCTGAAAACAAATGTTTTCAAATGAAATTCTTCTGATCTTGACACGTATGGCCAACTCTGTTCAGCACTGATGCAGGACATACATTTAGTACAGAATGTTGATCACAGCCTTCATCCTTCTAGAGTTCCATGTTCATCATTGTTCCGTGTCCTCAGGAGACTGATCCAAAATAGCCTGTACTGACCCTCCCACTACAGACAGTCTGTGTTCTGCAGGTAGGTGATGCATTTCACACCTGAGTGCCATGGACGCCTTGTATCTGCCAGAATGTGACCTGGAACAATGCATCAGTGATAACATACAGAACGCAGAGCCAGGTCTTCCCGGCACAGAACAGACTTGATTTGTGTAAATGTTTGTAGACAGAGAGTCTAAAAATGTAGAAGAAGAAGAGGAGGAGGAGAAGATGTGGGAATGTTTATGTAGAGGTCAGCGGCCCCTACACATGATAATTACCAGAAGGGGATAGGCCAATACTAATTGTATATGCAAGTGATTCTGGTATTCGGATATTGTTTGGGTGGGATGGAAAGGCCATTCCCACGATAACTGCATCAGAAAGTGTAAGCCGTTATCATTCAAGTCATTTGAAGCTGAAGGTGCATCCTATTTGTCACACAGCATGACATATGAACCTTCATACAGTCCCAAATACAGAATCCAATATTGAAAAACCGATCTAGCTGATTATACACTGATGTTCAATGTATACGATGCAGAGCTCATTTTCCGTGCACGTTTAATAATCCAAATAATGATGCATTTCTGTCCCTGTCGTGCTAATGAAACTGCATGTGACAATCATGCACAAGTCAAATAAAAAACCTGTTATATTAAATAGTTAGTGTATGTAGAAGTAGGATTGCACCGATACTAGTTCCTGATTGGCTGGGAAGCCGGCTCCATGCTGTTTGGCCGGCTCAATGCTCCACCTCCCAGCTTTCTGTTTGGCCGGGAGGCCGGCTTCCGGCTTCCCGGCCAATTGGCATTAAGTAGGCTTCCTGGCTAATCAGGAAGCAGGCTAAATGCTCCAGGAAGTACCGGCATCGGTATTTGTTATCGGCAAGTACCGATTCATAAATATCGGTATTCATACTCGATACAGAGAAACCGGTATTGGTGCATCCCTATGTAGAAGTATGAGGTTAAATATGACTACTGTTATGTTGGGGAGCTCACAGAGCACTCGCACAGGGTTTTCCCATTAACCAAAAGTCTTTATTATTCTTTCAAAGGCAGACAATAAAGGAAGTCCAACATAAAATAGCTTGTCTTCAGCATATAACATCTATTGGCTCACCAATCCTCGAGTTGTCCCACACACTCACAGTGTCCCCGTCCTTACCTTAACTATTAACAAAAATGTACCTTATTTGTGTACCACTCAGCTGTAGACCCTCAAATCATCTCTGAATTGGTGCTGACACTGTCCTTCCTTCTGGAGGGTGGCTACTTTTCTTCCCCATGGTCCCTGTTTGTGTTGTAAAGTAGTCACTGCTCCAAGCTTGCTCTTGTGATAGAACATAATCTCAGGTTTAGTTTACTAGTTTGTATTGAGACTGTAGTCAATCACAGGAGCGAGCTTGGAGCGGTGGACTGGCTACTTTACAAAACACACACCGGGACCATGGGGAACAAAAGTAACCACCCTCCAGAAGGAAGGACAGTGTCAGCACAAATTCAGAGATGATTTGAGGATATACAGACTAAGTGATACACAAATAAGATGCATTTTTGTTAATAGTTAAGGTGCTTGAATGCATATTTAGGATTTAACTCCTGAGTATAGTGTCACTTTAATACAAATATTTGAAGGGTAGAAAAATAGGAAATACAGCAATGGCTGATCAATGAAGGCCGCAACATATTATAGTATATAGGATAATAGATAAAGAATAATATAATTCAAAATACAATGCTTACAAAAATGATTAGTAAGAAAAATAGTAATCTAAAATTCAGTTAAATATAATAAAGCAAATAAAGAAAAATGATCTAAATTTGACTATGAGTCTAAGATACTGATTATGACTATGGGGGGAAAATGTATAGTAAATATAATAATAAATACATATTTTTAAAGAAGATGGAGTCATTTATTATGGAGTTATGTATCATTTGTCATTGAAATCTATATTTCAAGCACCAGCATATGGAACGTCATAGTTCTTGTGCTCCAACACTTGAGCATGTGCACAAAGATCTGCAGATGTGCAGTACAATACCCTTATGCACAGTTCTGTAAAGCCTTTTAGAAAACACTGCACACTTGATTTTTTTGTGGTGTTTTGTACTGTACATGCATCTACATCTGAAAAGGCTAACGGTGCTTACAGGGACACAAGAAGTGTAAAAATAAAAGATACAAAAGGTGTAAAGAAAGCACTTTTGTACACTGGAGCATACAATCTATAACAAAGCACCCTTGTTAATAATTTCTGCACATGCTTACTGTAGCCTGTGTGAACACATTTGCACTACCCGCCATCATACCTCCTGCACCCCTCTTCTACACATCCTGCCTGCTGTCATACCTTCTGTATGCCTCTCCTGCACATACTACCTCCCGTCATATACCCTGCACCCCTCTTCTATACATACTACCCGCCATCATACCTCCTGCACCCCTCTTCTACATAAACTACCTGCTGTCATACCATCTGCCTGTACATGTTACTGAGTTCTTCCACATCGTAGTTTTCCCAAGCTTGCTCATTCTGGGACGAGGATAGCTTTTATAAAAAGATTGACTGAACTGAAAGTCTTTACACTTTCCTTTGAGTAATGAAAAAATATCTTTCACAATCAATGATTTCAGATATTGATTACTCACGGATATCAGCTAAAACATCTATTGACTTGATTGTTTGTTTTTTTCCAACAGTCAACTGCAAAAGTGTTCTGTTCAAGTGGCTGTCCTTAAAAATCAAATAAATGTCTTTGTGGAGGACCAGAATGTGAAAAAAGGTGGTAAGATGAGAAATCAGCAAATGTATGCAAATCGGCCTATATATGATCTTCCAAATAAACACATTTATATTCCACAAATATACTGAAATATTCTATATAAAAAAAATATCACTGTATAACCACACATATTCAGCTCCCTCTATGACCGCCGTACTCACCGCTGCCCAGGTTGGAGACAGGAATATAATCCAAAAGGTGATAGACCTCAACACTGTCCAGCCAGTCACCTCCATAGCAAGCACAGCTACGTTGTATATGGACACTTAGCAGTACACATTCACCATGTCTTCACATAGCGTGCTGGACCCTCCCTATGTGCAGGAGGAAAACTCCCATCAATCTCCAGCTACATGTGATGCTCTGTTTGCAAAGTGAATAAAACACCTCACAGTCATATTACATCTGACACAAGGAGTTGATGCGTTTTTGTATATTTTCTTCTAAATAAGAGGTCATCTACTAAATTTACTCATGTGCATTCAGTGAGTACAGTACACATTTTTTCATCCGAATCTTACCGGAAAACTGTTTACTGTTTTTCTTTTACTGTTTACACAAAAAATTTGAAATAATTTTCTTTAGCCACATTTTTTAGCGTCTACTACAGCAGCCAGTTGCAATTAACATTTTTCCTGAAAGACTGCTGCAAGAAAACCATTTGCAGTACAAATCAACTGGAAATACACTGAGTGGTCAGTTTATTATGACCACCTGACGTTTGTAGGCAAATTAGCTATAATTTTGCGCTGAAGTTGCTAGAGGGCCAGACCATTATAAATAGGGAAGGAGGTTGTTTACCACGACAGTAGAAGTGATTTTTTCTGAAGATATGGGTAAACAACGCGATTTAACAGCCTTTGAACGTGGGGTGATTGTTGGCGTTCAGAGCCATGGAGCAAGTATCAGCAAAACAGCAGAATTCGTTAAATGTTCAAGAGCAGCTGTTGTTAAAGTGTTTAAAGATTGGACTGTCAGCCGAAAATCTGGGTCTGAACGTGCGAATTGTGGCCGTCAGCGACTAGTCAATGTTAGGGCAGAATGGAGAGTGGCAAGACTGGTACAAGACAACAGAAGGGCAACAGTGCAGTGTCAGATTCCTCGCATCACCTTTCAACATCTCGTGGAGTCACGAGGCGGCCCAACAAAGTCATCTCGTGGAGTCATCTCGTGGCCCAACGAAGTACTGATGGGGAGGTCATAATAATCTGGCCACTCAGTGTATAAAGTATATGTAAAAGGTAATAGCTAGATTTTCATATAAGCATTAACATCTTAAAATAGTTTTAAAAGTCATTTTTGGTATTTTTAAATCTGCATTTTCCATTACAGTATATTCATAAAACATTTTTCCGGCCCATTTGTCCTGCAAAACTGCATTTACGTTCAATCTGTGCAACTTGGGGCAACAACGAACATTATTGGTATATTTTCTTTCCAAGTCAAATGTAAAATTAGGAAAATACGGTCACTAGATGGAGCTGAGGAGTGAAAGACTCTGCATTTTTTTTGTATAAATACACTCCCTGGTGAGCCTACCATGAGGTTCCTTTTTCCAGTTCTGTTATAGGATAACAACGCTTTGTCCCTGACTCTCAGCCGTTCTCCTGCGTTTTTGCCCTCTCGCACAGGCTTCTGATGGAGACTACAATTGGCTGTTTCAATAAGCATTACACTTGTATGATCCGCTGTTGCCACCATCAGCCACCAAACCTGAGAAATGTCATGCAACTATTGCTGGGACAAGTGCATATTGACATTAAGTTGTTGAAAAGCAACTTCATCCTTGACATTCAAGGATGAAAAAAGGTGAAAACTAGTATTTTACACAAAAATAAATAAAAAGGCAGTTGTTGCTGATTCATATCACTGCATTCAGTGATCCATCTAATGCCTTGGTTCTCAACTAGTGGGTCGTGACCCAAAAGTGGGTCGCGACCCCATGTTCAGTGGGTCCCCACATGCCTTCCACTTTTCTAGATGAAAGAGTGTCAGCTTGAGGTGGGGTGGGGTGGGGTGGAAGTATGGCCATAAGGGAGCTCCATACATATGTGCATTGCTTACAGCTCATCACATTCCTTCAAACCTTGAACTTTGCAACTGAAGCTTTAGGGCTTGTTCACACCATATAGCGCAGTTAGCTGCTGGAACGCACTGTATCGCATAGTAAACTTCCCCCTGCGTTCTGGGGTGGGAGGGGTGTGGCAGTGGCACTGCAACCATGCCCCCCGCCTGCAGTGCAATCACCCACACCAGAACACAGGCACAACAATGCACACAAAAAAATAGTGCATGCAGCATTTTTTTCTGATCCACTGGACCGCAACGCAGGCACTGATGTGCCACCTTTTCTGGAGTGGGCGACTGCAGGGTGCAGAACGCAGGGGGCAGTTTACTATGTGATGCAGTGCAGAGCGCACTGTATATGGTGTGAACAAGCCCTTACAGAATATCTATTTTCTGGATCGAGTGGGGGAAGATTGAAACCACTATCAGTCTGTTTTGCCATCTGTGAGTTGGCACAGTGGCTTAGTGGTCACCACTGCTGCCTTGTAACACTCAGGTCAGGGGTTTAAAACCCAACTAGGACATGACCTGTGCTTGTGTGCGTTTCCTGCCACATTCCAAAAACACAATGGTAGGTTGACCTTAGTATGTGTGCTAATGTGAAATAGGGACCCCAGATTATAAATTGCCAGTGCTACATAAATACCTGTGATAAACAAACACTAATCTGTGTCTCATTCGTGGAATTTGCTCTTCCTGTCCTTTAGACACCACAGGAAGTAAGAGGATTTGTTTCCAATGTGAGGTATATAACCTGCTATCACTGGAACAAGCGTCCCCATTGGAAGATTCCCTCTCTATTTCTGTTCTGGAGGCAACTCAAAACGTTGGATTTACCCTCACTTTTATTCCCAATGACATTACTGATCAGGACAGTTAAGGTGGCCATACACTGTGCAAATTTCGGACAGTTCTTGAGGAACGGCCCGAAAATCACAAAGTGGGTACCGCTGTCGACACCCTTTTGGCTGGCATCCCTCGATCAGCTGATCGAAGCAGCCAGTCAGAAAATCTTCTTACCAATGGAGTCGGCAGTCAATAGGCTGCCCACTCTGTTTGGGTATTCTGACAGCGGCCGGCTGACAACGGGGATTCCTCAATCAACGTGCTCGTAGCCCAAGGGTTGAACGAAGAAAATGAGCAGTATATGGCCAGCTTCAGTGAATCTCTTTACTAGGGACACAGACAGCAATAAAAACCTAACAATGGTTCCAACCCCTCACCACTCTATCCAATTTTTTTAAAAGTTTTGCCTTTAGTCTGATTTATAAGGCATTTTCACAGTGTATAGCTGTATGAATGACGTTTCGCAGCATGTTACTGACACTAGAGCCAAGGAGCACTGTACATTCCTATGTACCTCAACTTCATCTAGTGGCAGTAATGTGCTGTGCACATCCCTCTCACAGCTATACACCGTACAAACACATCAGACAGATCGTTTGGTTTTTTTTTAGTTTCAAAAAAGTTTATTGTAATTTTCCATAAAATTCAAGTAATTGGTACATACGCTCAAACATCAAGTGCATGTATGTGTAAATGTTACAGGCAATGGTGTTTGTATATAACAAAAAGTTTGCTCTACAAACCCGACAACCTATGTCGGCCACTTAAATTATATTCAAGGGAGGTATGAACCTCGTCAGTTATGTGTATTGCATTAATGAGGAAATAGTTACAGAGTCAATAGGCGAGTGTCAAAGGTAGGTGGAAGAAAATGGTTCACCCGAGGTTCCCATATCTTTTCAAATTTCGGGATTTGGTCAGTTAAGCGTGCCGTGAGTTTCTCGTTGGAGAAATCCAGTGGATTTTGTTTTTGGAGGCTTGGAGGGAGAGCTTGTTGGTAAGCCATGAGCTGGCTATTGTGTGTTTAGCGGCTGAGAGGACGTGTAATATCAATTTAAATTTAATGTAGGGGATGTTTACGGGTTTGACATTAAAGGAGAACTATGAGGTGAGTGCTTTCCACTCACCTTATAGTTCTAGCCGACCTGTGACAATGAGACTGTCACAGGTCGGCTCAGTAGATCGGGAGGTGAGCGAACACATACCGGTGTTCGCTCACCTCTCGATCCTGTCACGGCTGTCTGCCGTGACAGGGGAGGGGCTGGATTCCCCCCTCCCCGCTCCGATCTGCCAGCGCTGACTGGCGGAACGGACGGGGGAGGGTACAGCTGGCTCTGCCTCTAGATAGGCAGAGCCAGCTGTCAGTCACGCAGCTGGGCGGATCCAGACATAATTGTCGGGATCCGCTTCAGCTGCGGCGTCTCAGTATACTACGAGCAGCAGCTCGCGGTATACTGCGACGTCTCAGTATACTGCGAGCTACAGCTCGCAGTATACTGAGCCTAGGGTGACGGGAGGACGCTAGTTTGTGTCCTCCCGTTACCCTAAGGAGAACTATGGGGAAAAGCCTTTCCCCCCATAGTTCTCCTTTAGGTAGTGCTGTTTGAGGGGTTAGGGGGACGTGCACCCCAGAAAGGGTGGAGAGCATTTTACACATCATTTTTATTCTATCATATATATAAAGCTTAATGAAGGCCATATGTAGACATCATGTTGTCCAACGCTCAACCTAATCATGATGGCCTTTTGAACAAGTTCTGCCATGTTGTCTTGTCACCTGAACATATTAATAAAAACTACTGCTTAGAACTCGCTGTTTGGGATAGCAGAGCAACTTTTCAACCGTACAGACCACCAGCCTTCTGAATCCTCCCGACATCCTTTTCACTCCCTTCCTCCTATAGTTCCTTGGCTGAATATAGCCACAAATATCCAAAGGTGGCCAGAAAAGGAAAACAAAAATGCAAATCTTACCACAGTTTGTAAATGTTGAAGCTTGGCCCTGCCACCTCTAACCCCCTGGCCCATAAATGCCAATATGGTAATACAGCCGAGAGCTTGGTTTGTGGTTTAGCCTTGTTTAAGTGTTTTGTTTGACATGCTGTTAAGGTTTACACAAAGCAAAAGTGTCTACTGTTTCGGTGGTTGCCAAATACAATGCACTAAATGAACACATTGTTTGTTTTGAACATTTAGAGGAGATTTCTATTACTCTTCTGCCCAGCAAAAGTACGTTTATGGTGCTTTTGGCACTCGGTGAAGGTGTGCTCTTTATGTACGCTGCTAATAAACTATGAACGAAAAACATCCAAGGTCCAAGGTCTGCTGAAATAGAATCAATGAAAGATGCACCAATATCGATACTAGTATTGGTGCCGATACAGAGTATTTGGGCTAGTACCCGTACTCGTCCAAATGCTCCGATACTTTGCCCCGATACCAAAACTTCCGGTCAGAGGGAAATTTCCTCTCTCCGGCAGTGCTGCGAGGGAACATGGAGCTGGCTTCCAAGCCAATCAGGAAGCCGGGCGGGGGGTAATGACTCGCCACCCAGCTTCCAGATTGGCCGGGTTCATGCTGTTTGGCCGGCTCCATGCTGATTGCCTGGGAAGCTGGCTCCATGCTAGTGGAAGTACCGGTATCGGTACTCGATATCGGCACGTACGGAAATATAAATATTGCTACTTGTACTCGATACCGAAAAACATAGTCGTTCATACTACAAACAAGTATGTTTCCAACATTGTCCATGTACAATAATGTCTATACACAGTGTGGGTGGCCCAATCTTCAACGCGTTTCACAGTTCGCGTCCTCAGCAAAAGAAGGAAGTAGTCTATAATTTTTATATATAAAGACAAAATAATGATCATATTCCATAATGAAAGTAAACAAACCGTGTTGATGCCTATGTTTATGCATTTGGAGTACATGCGAGCAAACAATGACGCCATTGGGGTGTTTTTATAGCTTTTATTCTATTATACAATAAACGTATGAATTTTAGAAACCTTTATGTCTTTTTGGTTGTTTTTGGTGTGGTACCTTTAAAGCCCCATTTCTTTGAGCTTTTTTGGTAATCCTAAAAATGTCATTAGCATGTTGATGGCCGATTGGACAGGACCTACAATGTTATAAGCTGATTAAACTTCAGCTTTAATATGCAGGGGGAGGGGATGTCATAATTGGCGTCCAGCATATGTAGTCCTGAAAAGGAGATATTTAATATGTATCAATGGATGAAAAACACACCAAACCACACACAGCAGCATAGCACAACCCCGAACACACTGCACATTCTGCTTTCTATAGTGCAAGAGGGTTGGCAGCTACTATACATGTACATTGGGCTGCCACAATGCACATAGTGCTGTGCACTGCCGCAATACACAAATGTAAAATCAGCCTCAGAGTCAGTAGGTAGGGTACAGGGGCTATCAAGAGAACCTGTCACTTTACCCTGAATGAGCAAAGGGACAGTTTACCTTTAAACAAAGGAATTACTGCACCACCCGAATCAGAAACACTCATCTTTTTGGGCCTGTTTACCCCAGTCTGGTCTGCTGGTGTGCATTATGGGCATTGCCTTTAAATGCATGGGCTGCCTAATGCATCACAAAGGACCAAATTTCCTGCATGCAGCATTTTTGGAAGCATAGCACAATGCATAGAATGGGATGGTCTGTTACCGCAGCACTAGGGCCGTGCATATAATGAGGCAGCCTGAGGATGTTTCCTCAGGTGCCATCTCTTTGGGTTACGTACGGGGGGCGGCAGACAGAGCAGCATGACCGCTCTGCTGTTCAATGTCTGCAGTGTGCCTGCTGCCCCTTTTACGGCCAGAGTGTCCCAGGTTGCCAAGAGCTGGGCAGAGAGATGTGTAAAGGCCATGTCCATCTTCTTGCCTGGCTCTTAGCAACCTGGGACACTCTGGCTGGCGTCCTGCCCAGCTCACTGACATCACTGTTTGCTAGGAGCTGAGCGGAATGCTCTGCAGAGACCACAACCACTGCCCCCCTCTTGAGGATCGTGTGCACCATCAGCACCTCCCGTGCAGGTGGCAAAAAGACTAGGGACGCCCCTGCACAGAACACTGGTGTGATCAGGCCCTGACTATTCATGACGACAGGATTACAAGTTCTACGCGTTTCGCACATATAAAACGCTTTCAAAAAGATTATTTATCAGGGTAGTTTTACACCACGGAACATGCTGACATTTGTTGGTGATGCGTGTTGCAGTGCGGCCCAACGCCCAAAAGAAGTCTATTGAAAATGTTTTTGTTTTCCATTTGGATAGAATTGGAATAAGTTGGAAACTCTGTCAGTTTTGTTTATGTTGTTTGTGTTATTGTTGGGGGGGGGGGGGGGGTGCAGAAGCAGTTGTCCCTGTTATTTTAAAGTGTATTTCAACAGTTGCAGCCATATTGGGATAACATCTACTTTATATGTGTTTATGTGTTACATATTACCATTCACATTGCATAAGTAGAAAAAGAAATGTTTTTGCTTACATTTTTGCTTGCTTAAAAAAACCTACCTTTCTTCCCCCCTATGTAATGTTAAGGAGGGGGCTGTGGGCAGTTATGTTTACTCCAATGAACCCTGTCTGTATTGTGCTGGCAGATCTCATTATCAGCTGTGCAGACAGGGTTCATAGGAGTAAAGATAACTTCCCACAGCCCCCTCCTTAACATTACATAGGGGGGTAGGATTTTTAAGCAAGTAAAACTGTAAAATTATCAGTTCAACTCAACTAAAATGGAACACCATCTGCCCTAACAAAGGGTTAAAGTACACTGAGGGGAATTTATCAAAACTGGAGTAGACAGAATCTAGAGCAATTGTGCATGGCAACCAATCAGCTTCTCTCTTTCATTTTCAAATCTTAACTGAGCAGACTGAAGAGAAAAGCTGATTGGTTGCCAGATTCTTCTGCTCCAGTTTTGATAAATTCCCCCCATTGTATGTGAATAAGAGGAAGTTCAGTCTGTCCCTCTACTTTCACCTTCAAACTGCTCAGCATAGCCTGCAGCCTGCACAAAACCCTTCACCAAAGAAATATCTAAAAGGTAAGAAGTTCAATATAAAACAGAAGTCACCAACTTGTGCAACTAGATCGATTGTTTATGGACTGTATATTATTAGTTTTATAGGAGCTCCAGTGATGAATCCAGACTGGTGATTAATCCAGAGAAGATGTGTGCACTGATCCTGCAGCCTCGTTAGTTGGGAAAAGAAAAACATTCATGTAACAGCACTGCAAAGAAAACATAAAAACCTGGCGCACAGATCTAAGTGCAGTATACAAGTAACTGTTCAATAAATGTTAAAAGTAATGCACTTACAGGATATTTTTAAAAATCTCGCCTGTCACACATCAGATGGAAGTCCGATCTCAGCTGCTGATCCAAGATTGTTATAAGGATGGAATGCACATGGAGAGAGCAGAGTCCAGTCCAGAAAGATTCCAGATCACCTGTGCAGGGAGACATAGATCTGATCCAATAGCTGAGCAGCTGAACCAGTAACTGGTTCTCCTCAAGGTGGGATCTCAGACATACTGAGCAGCTGTGATCCCAAGTTCTCCATCAGGTCCTCCTCTGCTGATTGACAGCAGCAGTGGGCCGGTACAATAGCCAGCCTACTATTGGCTATTGCAAATTGAAATAGCCTAGCTATTCATTCCTATGCTGTGTTTTTTTTTTTTTTATTCTGACGTCGACAGGTGTAAGAATAAAAAAAAAAAAAAACAGAAGACAGCAAGGGAAGCTTCTCTGCTATTTACCATAATTTCAGTGAGGTCCCCCCTCCTCCGATGGTGAGGGGGGCACCTAACTGAAATGAGAAGAGCACCTCCCTGAAATGACTTTATTCAGGTGGGGATGCCTGAGTTCTTCCGGGTCATCAGGTGTCAGACGTTGCTAGGCAACGTATTTCAGAGGTTCACCTTCTTTGTTTTCTTTGCAAAAGGGAAGAAATATATTTTTAAAAATACATATATTTTTGGTATGCTGCATGAATGGGAACACATACAAAACATACGGAGGGAATTTTCTCCAATCTGACTGTAAATGTGGAAGTACACTTTAAATCGTAGCTCTCCTAATGGAGGTATACCCCCCTTTGCACCCCCCTGTGAAGAGAGGGGATGTATACAGCCCCACCATGTCCTCCTCCTGCTCAATTTTGGCCAGAAAACAAACACTACATGACAAATAAAGCATAGCGCAGCCTGCCATTCCTCCGTCTGTCCAGCAGGGGGCTCTGTCGATCAGAGGCCTCCAAGGCCTGGGCTCCGGACCTTATAGGGAGCGAGGTGCGGTGGAGGGCAGCACACAGCGGTGATCACCGACTCCCCAGCACTGCTCTCTCCGGACACTAAGAGGATCGGTACCAGGCCGCTGCTCCCCCCGGGGCTCGGCTGCTCAGAATGTGGCTGAACCCGGAGGAGGTGCTGCTGGCCAATGCGCTATGGGTCACCGAGCGAGCCAACCCGTTCTTCATCCTGCAGAGGCGGCGGGGACACGGCAAAGGCGGAGGGCTGACAGGTGATGAGGGATCGGGGGGCCTGGGGGGTGGCCAATGATGGGCCCGGGGCTTATGACAGCTCCCATAGTCTGCCTATGACGGTGGTAAACTTATTTTCAATGTGACAGTAAAATGTAAACATTGCAGAGAGCCTCACTCACTCCTCTGCTGCTGCAGATGGAGGATCATTACGGTCTATAATCAGATCATCAACACACAGATATGGACAGATCGGCCCCGGACAGACATACACCAGCAATGGCCGGTCCTTACAGGTCATTTGTACTGTGATCAGGTCATCCTCTGCTGTCATATTCACAGATCATTATCATGGACTCATCTACACACGAGTCTGATCCACACTACACCAGTCTGATCCACACTCACTGTATACATCCCCCTCACACACACCAGTCTGATCCACACTCACTGTATACATCCCCCTCACACACACCAGTCTGATCCACACTCACTGTATACATCCCCCTCACACACACCAGTCTGATCCACACTCACTGTATACATCCCCCTCACACACCAGTCTGATCCACACTCACTGTATACATCCCCCTCACACACGAGTCTGATGCACACTCACTGTATACATCCCCCTCACACACCAGTCTGATCCACACTCGCTGTATACATCCCCCTCACACACCAGTCTGAGCCACACTCGCTGTATACATCCCCCTCACACACACCAGTCTGATCCACACTCACTGTATACATCCCCCTCACACACACCAGTCTGATCCACACTCACTGTATACATCCCCCTCACACACACCAGTCTGATCCACACTCACTGTATACAACCCCCTCACACACACCAGTCTGATCCACACTCACTGTATACAACCCCCTCACACACCAGTCTGATCCACACTCACTGTATACAACCCCCTCACACACCAGTCTGATCCACACTCACTGTATACAACCCCCTCACACACCAGTCTGATCCACACTCACTGTATACAACCCCCTCACACACCAGTCTGATCCACACTCACTGTATACATCCCCCTCACACACCAGTCTGATCCACACTCACTGTATACAACCCCCTCACACACCAGTCTGATCCACACTCACTGTATACACCCCCCCCACACACCAGTCTGATCCACACTCACTGTATACATCCCCCTCACATACCAGTCTGATCCACACTCACTGTATACATCCCCCTCACACACGAGTCTGATGCACACTCACTGTATACATCCCCCTCACACACCAGTCTGATCCACACTCGCTGTATACATCCCCCTCACACACCAGTCTGAGCCACACTCGCTGTATACATCCCCCTCACACACACACCAGGCTGATCCACACTCACTGTATACATCCCCCTCACACACACCAGTCTGATCCACACTCACTGTATACATCCCCCTCACACACACCAGTCTGATCCACACTCACTGTATACATCCCCCTCACACACACCAGTCTGATCCACACTCACCGTATACATCCCCCTCACACACCAGTCTGATCCACGCTCTCCGTATACATCCCCCTCACACACACACACCAGTCTGATCCACACTCGCTCTATACATCCCCCTCACACACCAGTCTGATCCACACTCGCTCTGTACATCCCCCTCACACACCAGTCTGATCCACACTCGCTCTGTACATCCCCCTCACACACCAGTCTGATCCACGCTCGCTCTGTACATCCCCTCACACACCAGTCTGATCCATGCTCACCGTATACATCCCCCATGCTGGCTGGGATATCTTGGCTGGTGGGTTTCAATACACAAATGCTTTTGTGTTTTCAACGTTTTTGAACTTAAAGCTAAAAAACCTTAATTCAGATATATTCCTTAATGGTCACAAAGGTTATAAATCCACTTTGTGAGTGGAAAATGCCTACTGATTCTGGAGTTCACCTTTAAAAGGAAACCTGCATTTTACAAGTATGGGAGCAGGCATTGCTGACCAGTTTTTCTAGGCTCAAGCTGTGGCAGTGTTATCTTTATACTTTAATGGAGGGTGGTATAGAAGTGTATGTATAGCTAAAACTTAATTTTTTAATTTGGGTTAATGCAGGAAAGGGTTAAAACCCCTGTCAGTTTATTGTTGGGGATATTTCCTGTCATGGAGAAGTTACAGGAAGTGAGAGGAATCCCCTTTTACACAGCTGTTCCAATTATAAGATTTCCATTCACCTTTTTGCTCTGGTGACAACCATGAACTATTTGTAATCTCTTTCTATCTTGGGACAGTGATCACTGGGACATATAGAGAAGTAAATCTCGCCACCAATGATATGGAGAGCTAAAAAAATGTGACGGGCGTTCTAATACTCTCCCAATCTATCCATAACTAAAGAAAGAAGAAACGTCACGTATGTGTTTTAGACTTGTGATCCTTAACGCCTTCGCTGACTGTACGCATATATGTGCCATCCAGCGCCACTGTTCTGTGCTGAGAGTGCACTCACTGGCACTGCCAGCACATTGACCGAACTGGCACTGACGCTTATGATTGGGCTTCTCATCATATGACCGATGTGTCAGTCAATCACAGTGATCACATGATCGGGAAGCCCACCTTTGACTCCCACTGTTAGGAAACCCATTAAAGGGCCACTGGGAGTTGTTACAATTTGCTAATACTATGTAGCAGGTCGCGCCTCAACAACGCATCAGTCAGTATAAAATCAGGCAGGCCCTTGCTCTAGATAGCTGATGGTAGCTCTACAGGAGAGATTGCACAGTGTGTGGTCAGCTTTAGGGAACAGACTCATATCTGGCAGTTGTTTTTGTAGACACCGGCAGAGCAAAGCCGTACTATAAGAATAGTGCAATGAGCTCTGCGCTATAATGGTCATACAATACATTGAGGGCTTATGGGGAATGTTTCCAGGGTGCTGACCATCATCAGTTGATGTCTTTATTTTCAGCAAAGCTGTTTTTGTTTTTTCACTTCAAGAGAACTTGTCCCTTTGCCCTAAACAGACTGAGTGACCGTGTCATTATTGATTTGGTGTATTATATTCAAGTGATATTGAAGGATACGTTTTTTTAAATCTATTTTTTAAATTCTGCTGCATTACCTTACAGCAGGGGTAACCAAACTCCGGCCCAACAGCTGTGGAGAAACTACAAATCCCATGATGCATCTCTCTCCGGGAGTCATATCTGCGGTTGTGAGCATCTTGCAATGCCTCATGGGATTTGTAGTTCCACCACAGCTGGAGGGCCGGTGTTTGGCTATACCTGCCTTACAGGATATAATCCTGTTTGAATTTGTCAAGTTTCCCTTTCCATGTGAATCACCTGGTCCCCACAGCACTGGCTGGGATATCTGGATTCAGGGTGACTCCTTTCCCTGGCAGGGTCCTATGGAGCCACCCTTGTGTGTGTATTCCCAGCCTGCTCCTATAGATGCTACATGTGTCTACAGAAAGCGATAGCCAGACAGGAAGCCAACCCCTGCTCCCCATTCTCCCTGTGGCGGCATGTGACCCCGTTCACACCTATGCATACTGGGAACGCACGTTGTGTTCGCATGCTTTTTTTCCCGTGTTTACCATGCATCCTCTTGATTTCCTTGGGTGCCATATGTACGACAAATACAGGAAAGGAGCTCAAGTAGCAGCTTCTGCTACAGGCCTCCCACTTTTTCTGGCGCATTTCAACACGTAGGAAAAATGCATGTTTTCCCGGCCGCATTTGGAGCCCTATTAACAAGTAATGACACCGCAAACACGTTGTAAGTTTTTGACGCGTTCTGTGAATGCGCATCAAAGCACTAGCTTGACACGCATTTGACTTGTGTTATGGAATGCCTATGAATGATAGAAATCACCAGCACTCCGCAAATTAAATTTAAAAAAAATGTCCATTTATCTGGACTGAATGTCACACATATCGCATAATCCAACGTTTTCGGGACCACGCAGGGTCCCTTCATCAGGGCAGTCACATCTCTGCCCTGATGAAGGGACCCTGCGTGGTTCCGAAACGTTGGATTATGTGATAAGTGTGACATTCAGTCCAAATAAATGGACATTTTTTTAAAATTTAATTTGCGGAGTGCTGGTGATTTCTATCATTCATTGACTGTTGTGCACGGCGCCATCCATGATTTATCACTGTGAGCACCAATATTGCCACTTGGACCGGAAGCGCTGCAAGGAGTGCAGGGGGACATATTGTTTTCTGTTATGGAATGCCTAGGCGTGAACGGGGACACGCTCTGTTACCCAGAAGTTAGGGGAAGTGACGCTCTGAGACCTGGAGCCGGCGACCGTTAGCTCTACAATAACGCACGAGGTGTACCGAGCGAATTATGTTCTCGGCAATGTTTATAAGGTTGTTTGGAATCCATTCATTGAAATAAAGGGAGCATTTAGTGCTATTTTAATTTAACTATGTGATTTTCACAGGCCACGAGCACTGTAGAGCAATGTGGTGATTTATAAGCAGCATTTATAATGTTAATAATATACACTGAGTGGCCAGATTATTATGACCACCTGACGTTTGTAGGCAAATTAGCTATAATTTTGCGCTGAAGTTGCTAGAGGGCCAGACCATTATAAATAGGGAAGCAGGTTGTTTACCACGACAGTAGCGGTGATTTTTTTCTGAAGATATGGGTAAACAACGCGATTTTAACAGCCTTTGAACGTGGGGTGATTGTTGGCGCTCGCAGCCATGGAGCGAGTATCAGCAAAACAGCAGAATTTGTTAAATGTTCAAGAGCAGCTGTTGTTAAAGTGTTTAAAGACTGGACTGCCAGCCGAAAATCTGGGTCTGAACGTGCGAATTGTGGCCGTCAGCGACTAGTCAAGGTTAGGGCAGAACGGAGAGTGGCAAGACTGGTACAAGACAACAGAAGGGCAACAGTGCATCAAATTACTGCAGATTTTAATCAGGGATCCTCTCAACTGATCTCTGAACGCACTGTGCGCCGTACATTGGATCGTATGGGATATGGAAGCCAAAGGCCTGTTCGAACATCTTTGCTGTCTGCAGTTAACAAGATAAAACGTCTCCAATTCGCACAGGAACACAAGGATTGGACAGTCGAGCATTGGAAAAAAGTCATGTGGTCCGATGAATCACGTTTCCAGTTGCATCATGCAGATGGCAGAGTGAGAATTTGGCGGGAACAGCATGAAAGCATGCACCCCACATGCATGAGTACAACCCTTCAAGCTGGTGGGGGCAGTGTTATGGTTTGGGGCATGTTTTCCTGGCATGATTTGGGCCCTTTAATTCGTGTGGAACAACGTCTGAATAGCACAACATACCAAAGTATCGTTGCTGATCAAGTTCATCCTATCATGTTGATGGCGTATCCCAATGGAGATGGCTTCTTCCAACAAGACAATGCGCCATGCCACGGTGCTCGTATTGTGCAGGAGTGGTTTCAAGAACATGAGGGAGACTTTACCTTGCTTAGGTGGCCCCCACAATCACCAGATCTCAATCCAATTGAGCATTTGTGGGATGAAGTTGAAAGAGCCATCAGGCAGCTGGTTCCACAACCATCAAATCTCACAGAACTGGACTGTGTTATTCCTCCGGCATGGTGTCAGATTCCTCACATCACCTTTCAACATCTCGTGGAGTCAATGCCAAGAAGAATCGCCGCAGGATTGAAGGGAAAAGGTGGCCCAACGAAGTACTGATGGGGTGGTCATAATAATCTGGCCACTCAGTGTATAATGTTAGTGAAGGGCTGTGTGGGCAATGGTAGTCATCCAGCAGCGGCTCACTGTAAGTAAATATCATTCTGGCAGCTGGAGAATGCCGAGCACTCCTGCCTGGAAAAAGCACAGCATTCCACAAACATATGAGACTCCATCCCCAGGGGGATCCAAATGCTCTAGGGATAAACTAATCCTGGTTACAAAGCGTCGCTCAGTGGAGACCACTGGATTCTGTGCTGTCGTTCTGCTAATTGTTGCTGAAACGTCCTCATGTAACAGTGCAACTAAATAACATGCCGATATTTCTCCCTAATCCGAAAAACCACCTTCAAGAGGTGGATGCATAGCAAAAAGCTGTTTATTGTTTTGGATGGCGCAGGTAAGGGTTAAACCCCTGTCCGTTTATTTTGTTGCTGCCTTTGTCCTGCTGGGGAGAATTCACTTCCTGTCTTGGAGACACAACAGGAAAGGAGGAAATCTTTTAAAAATGACGTGTTCCCATAGAAAGAGTCAGTCATTTCTGCTCTGACTGTTGTAACTTTTTGGATTTTCTGTCTGGGTCATGGTGGTCATCGGGACAGATTTGAGTTTTGGTTATGCACACATTGTAATACATTTACTTGTGTATGGAGGGTTGTATTATAAAGTAGTAAAACATATACTAAAGGAGCAGACCTTACTGAAGTGGCACATGGCTATCTGCTTTGTGTAGCATTTCCTCTCTGCTTTGTCATGTGATCTGTGATGTCACATGACTAAGTGCAAGTGAAGCGTGGGGCAGCATCCTTGTGGTGTCTTCAGTAGCCTCCATACTGTTCTTATTGATAATGTCCTGAATAATGTGCTGCTGGCTTTATGTGGGTTAAAGGACATCTGCACAGGGAAGGATGGAGGCTACTATGGCTGTCCTCCATTGTAAAAATCCTAGCTGCATAGTTGCCATGCTGATCCGCTGGCTTCAGGGCTTTAAGTCCTTGCACTAGAAGTATGCTGATTTCTCATCTACGTGCTTGTCCCAGGTTAGTGTGTCAGAAAGTATTGGCGACAAAGATAGCCAGGCAGTAGGTATTTTTGGCGGGAGTTTAGCTCTGTCAACCTCCCATTTTAAAGACTTTTTATGAACCCTTGCAGTGGACTACCCCTGCCATGCAAGGGTTAAGTGCTCCTTTATGTCTAGGGACAAAAATAACAAAGATATACTCACCCGAGCTTTGAGCCAGCCAGCTGTCACGTCGCTCCCTCCAGCCTGTCCCATCCACCACAGCAGCATTGGAATGTTCCTCAGCGTCCTCACATCTATACACCGTGTTATTTTTATCTGCTTGTGTCCTACTGGGAATCTTTTCCTTCACTTTCTGTCCTGCAGACACAACAGGAAGTGAGATCAAATCTTTTCAAAGTGAACAAAATTATATTATTCACACAGCCTAAGGCTAGGTGCACTCCTGGGCGACTCCTGACCGCACAGCAATTGTGCACAAAACTGCGCAGCTTGCTGGGCGGTCACAAAGTCGCCCACCACAGCTGATCGTGCTGTGGGTGCCATCATTTTCTAAAAAGCAGCGCGCCGTGTGTCGCAAAATAAAGGTGCCACACGGATGTAACCACTCATGTAAAGGTGCCACACGGATGTAACCACTCATGTAAAGGTGCCACACGGATGTAACCACCATGCATTGAAATCACTGGGGCAGTGCTGCAACCGCTGCGTGCACTAACACACGTTCGCACGGTCCAGGATATGCGTCTCGGATGTCGCTCAGGTCTGAACCTAGCTTAAGAGGGTCATATACCAGCAAGAAGGAGATTATTTCTGCACCTGGTGGGGTCACAGGTGTTTACAAATGGCCACAGCCAGCAGTCTGTACTAATCAATGACTGGCTGGCACACAATGAAGCTGTACGCCATGGGTGAGCAAACTCCAGCTATAGTGAAACTACAAATCCCTTGATGCACTCTGCATTCAGGGCCGCTCATCGGTTCCTGTATGCATTGTCTATTCTTGATGGTGTACGCCCCTCTGTGGCTCTGTAAACGAGGCGTTAGAGCAGGGGCCTTAGAACACCGGCCCTCCAGCTGTCGTAAAACTACATATCCCATGATGCATCTGTCTCTGGGAGTCACAGGTGTTTGAGAATGGCCGCGGCCAGCCGTCTGTAGAAATCAATGACAGGCGCTTCAGCTGTACGCATACCTGAGTGGTTACATGTGTACAGAACTGATGAGCAGGCCTGGACTCTGCATTCAGGGCTGCTCATCGGTTCCTGTATGCATTGTCTATTCATGATGGTGTATGCCCCTCCTGTGGGCTGTGTAAATGAGGCCTTAGAGCAAGGGTGGGCAAATTCCGGCCCTCCAGCTATTGTGGAACTACAAGTCCCATGAGGCATTGCAAGATTCTCACAGGCATGACTCCCAGAGACAGATGCATGATGGGATTTGTAGTTTCAGCACAGTTGGCAGAGCTGTCCACCCTGCCTCAGAGTTAGCCCACTGCTGCCTTAGAGAATTGTCACAGGAAAGAGCCTCTTTATTGGAGGATTTTTCCCTCGCTTCTTGTCTCGGGGACATTTCTTACATTTTAGAGAAGTCCCCCATTTCTGTCTTGGTATAGAACAATTAGAGGGGTGACTCTCCCCAGTAGGAGCACAGACAGTAATAAAAAGCAGACTCTACCTACTCTATCCAAGATTTAAATAAATAAATTGCCTTTCCATACACTATAAAATCTGACTGGTTGGTTAGAGCATTGCTTGGGATGGTGACTCTCCTATCACTACCCTTGAAAGTGCTGGTTATCAGTTGTCCCCTTATTATTAGTAACCAATAATCATTTTTATTGACCCATTTTGACATATTGGTACTGAAAACACCGACTTCTGTAGTGCATGTGTTTTTGATTCACAGTAGACCGGCATACAATAGGGGCAGCTTAAAGGAGAACTATGGGGTTAAGGCTTTTCCCCATAGTTCTCCTTAGGCTAACGGGAGAACACAAACTAGCGTCATACCGTCACCCTAGGCGCAGAGCCAGCTGTACCCGCCCCCTCCCCCGTCCGTTCCGCCAGTCAGCGCTGGCGGATCGAAGCGGGGAGGGGGGAATCCAGCAGAGAGCCGTGACAGGATCGAGAGGTGAGCGAACGCCGGTATGTGTTAGCTCACCTCCCGATCTACTGAGCCGACCTGTGACAGTCTCATTGTCACAGGTCGGCTAGAACTATGAGGTGAGTGAAAAGCACCAACCTCATAGTTCTCCTTTTTAAATGTGTGTTGTACATGAGGAAATAAGTACATGGTTGTCAAAACATCTAGAAATTGTCTCGTGACACTGGTCACATGACCGAGATCCCACAGGCGGTCACATGACACACATCCAACTTCTGCCTTGAAACCATCTTGTACTTATATTAACTCTCAGTGTTCTGTCTTTCCCTAGGCCTGCTGGTAGGAACACTGGATGTTGTACTGGACTCGAGCGCACGTGTGGCTCCATACCGGATCTTACACCAGACCCAGGAATCTCAGATCTACTGGACTGTGGCTTGTGGTGCGTGTACAGAAAACACAGATATATGTTGAATATTGGGATAACACATCTGCTGTTATGGATTTGTTTGGAACAGATATTTAAATGACTTGACAAGTGTGACGTCACTACGTTTTCATATATTACCATATATTTTACATCAGAGGTAGCCAAACTTCAGCCTTCCAGCTGTTGTGGAACTACAAGTCCCATGAGGCATTGCATGACTGTGATAGCCACAGGCATGACTTCCAAAGACATGCATGATGGGATTTTTATTTAATTTATATATGTTTCTATTATTAATAATAATAATATTATTTTCTTCTTTCCCTAGGCCTGCTGGTAGGAACACTGGATGTTGTACTGGACTCGAGCGCACGTGTGGCTCCATACCGGATCTTACACCAGACCCAGGAATCTCAGATCTACTGGACTGTGGCTTGTGGTGCGTGTACAGAAAACACAGATATATGTTGAATATTGGGATAACACATCTGCTGTTATGGATTTGTTTGGAACAGATATTTAAATGACTTGACAAGTGTGACGTCACTACGTTTTCATATATTACCATATATTTTACATCAGAGGTAGCCAAACTTCAGCCTTCCAGCTGTTGTGGAACTACAAGTCCCATGAGGCATTGCATGACTGTGATAGCCACAGGCATGACTTCCAAAGACATGCATGATGGGATTTTTATTTAATTTATATATGTTTCTATTATTAATAATAATAATATTATTTTCTATTACCATTAGACGGTCACTGCTTATTTAGACCTATTGATTATTACATAATTACATTCCATCGCCAGCTAGTGGTTTAGGTTGTAGCTCTCATCTTTTGCTGTTTGTTTATGATGGGATTTGTAGTTTCACCACAGCTGGAGTTTGGCTAACCCTGTTTCACATTATATTTTATAGTAAAATATAACTATAGTACCTTTCACAAAAGCCAATCTACCCATACAAGGGGGCATCTTATTGTACATACACATACAAGCTTGGCTCCTTGGTTGTGCCTTGACTGAGGAACATCCACAGTGCTCATTGGTAGCCATGGGTCATGTGATCTATGCTTTTTTTTTTTTTATTATTATAAGCAAGAAAGAGATTTCTCAAACCAGTAATGTGATTTGGCAATACTGACATGTGCCCTAGTTATTACTGTAATGTGCAATCCTTCTTTGCACATGTGCCTCCATTATTTAACAGTAGAAATTGATCTGGGTAGTATAAACAAACTTTTACCTTCTGGATTTAAATGTACTTGTGCCTACATGTGTTTATGTGCATTTACATGCCTTTAGCTCCATAAAATAGGGCTAAATGGTTCCTAGACACATATTTCTTGTTTTTGTAAATGTAGTTAGCTCGATTGAGTGCACCTAGACTGCATCCAAGCAATGCTGAACATCAAGTGTGCATTAAGCCATAGAAAAGCATGCCATGCTTCCAGATGCATTTAGCCCTGGTTCACACCTAGGCGTTTTTGAGCAGTTCGAAAAGCGCTTTTAACTGCCCAACACAAGAAATCCCATGAGTTTCAATGGCCCTGGTTCACACCTGAGCAGAAAAATGCCTACCCTGTTTCCCCAAAAATAAGAGCTACCCCGAAAATAAGACCTAGTACTATTTTTGGGAGTTGCTAAAATATAAGACCAACCCCGAAAATAAGACCTAGTTGTCACCATTCCCAGGGCCGGCGGTGGCATAAGGGGGAACTTGAAGAGCCGTGGGAGAGACTCAGCGGTGCCAATGAAGCCAGCGCTAGAGGAAGCGAGGCGGCACCGGAGGGAGCAGAGCCGCATAAGCCGATGCTTCCTCTATAGCGCCGGCTCCTGTCACAGGCGGAGTGATACCAAATGCACTCCGCCTGTGAGGAATCCATAGTGAAAGTGCGCTTTGCTCATTCTGGCCAGAGATTGGTTACCAAATTGCTCTTGGAAAGGTACAGCACCCCTGATTGCCCTGATCACCATATTTGTGTACATGAATAAGTGTGGAATGTTGTACATTAACAAAAAAAAATAAGACCTACCCCGAAAATAAGACCTAGTGTGTGTGTTTTTGAGCCCCCAAAAATATAAGACAGTGTCTTATTTTCGGGGAAACACGGTAGCAGGAAAACGCCAGATGCCTGAAAAGATACAGGAGCTTCTTTGGGCAGTTAAAAGCGCTTTTCCTCCCCCATAGACTTCATTGGAAATGCCCAAAAACGCGCAACAGAAGCATGTTGCACATTTTTGTGAGTGTTTTTGCCCATTTATACGCGTGTTCTTCCATTGCCCACAATGGTTTATGAGCTAAATCAAAATGCGCGTCTTTATATACGCGCGTTACAACGCGCATACAAATGCTCACAACGCGCAAATGACCGCTTGCTGCTAACGCACATTCAAACGTGCAAAAGCGGTGCCGCCTATGTGTGAACCAGGGCTAAGAAATGAGCTCCAAATCCATCTGGATGTGTGTATTTTGGTGCCTGTGTGCATGAGGAAGACTTGGGCTACAATGTAGGTACATTTAGGGATTCCTGCGTCAGGAACTTGTGATTTCCAGCAGCAGGAATTAAAAATCTGCCGTTTACAAGCGTCAGCTGTCACCCGTTTAAGTTAAGTCACGGCTCTCTGCAGGGACAGGATCGAGAAGTGAGCGAGCGACGGTATGTGTTCGCTCACTTCCCGATCTATTGAGCCGACCTGTGACAGTTTCATTGTCACAGGTCGGCCAGAACTATGAGGCTGAGTGATTTTCACTCGCCTCATAGTTCTCCTTTTAAGCTCTAAGAGTACAGATTTCAAGAAAATGTGTGTTTAGTTACCTGTATCACAAAAGGGTTTATTTATAAAGAGTTGATCTGACATTCACCTAACATTCACTGCATCTGAATCTTTCGGGTGCATGTGTTTTTCAGTGACAGTGATTGGTTCACTACCAGTGAATGTTTGGGAAAGGTCACTGCTTTATAACTTTATAACTATGCCTCAAAGTGTTGGCATTTGTTTAAGAGCACATCAATACTGTTGCTGCTTTTTGAATTGAATCTGGGGGCATGTTTTAATAACTGATCATGTGCATCCAGTGCCATGTGATCCAAGTAAACATGGCCCCATCTGTCTATTTGGGCAAGGCACTCATGGTTTTCAGGGCCTGCAAGTGATGGAGCTTAGCTAATCAAAAATGGTTTGAAAAGATGTGAATTTATTTTGTCTTTGGCTCCAACATCTCCATTATGTATAACATGTTTAGGCATTGCATATACTGTACAGTAAATGTCTGTATATAACATGCCAATCATTACATAGAAGAAGGTGGCCATTTGATGTTATTATGGCAGGCTCTAACATATGTCTTTCTCCAGGGTCATCACGTAAAGAGATCACTGGACACTGGGAATGGCTGGAAAATAATCTACTTCAAACTCTTTCCATCTTTGAAAATGAAGATGACATAACAACCTTTGTCAAGGGGAAAATTCACGTAAGACAACTCGCTGCTCATACTGTGGAATCTTTCTTGTTGGCATATTTGTTTCATGTATATACTGTAATGGCCTCATATGGCTAACTGTGACATTTTTGATGGCCATTGCCAGCAGCATGTCTTCTAATGTCAATAATGTGTCAGTCCACCCAAAATGTATATTTCAGTAAATGCTAGCAAGTTATATTGCCTAATGGTGCCTTCCATGTCACAGGGGCTGTATTGGTTAGATCCCAGCTCTTATGTTACTTGGTCTATACATCTGCTACAGGTATTCTTAAGGCATCCCACTCTCCCTGTTGGATCGTTTACTTATTTTATCTTGTGGATAATGCCCCAGGGGAATGAGGACACCCAAAAGTCTGAGGTGTTTAGAAAAAGATGTAGGTACTATGACAGAAAGATCTCACCCAAGACATTGGAAGTCAATGGGTGACTTGCTATGTATATCTTAAATATCTCCTTTGGGTGGACCAACTCTTTAAATAAGGACTCTTAACCACCATGAAAATGGGCAACCTTCTTTCCTTAACTGAAATAACTTTTTTGGGGGTAAACTAACTGTTTTAAGAAGGACTCTAAGCATTATAAAACGCAAATGGATGACTCCCATCTGTAAGTGAAATATCTTTTTCTGAGTGGACTGACTCTATGCACTATATGTATCCAAAATTAGCCCGTTAACTCCATTTTTTATTTAGAAATCTTCAGTCCTTTCTGTGGATGGGAAAAAAAAAAATTAATTAAATCCATAAGTTCTTTAACCACTTCCCGGCCGGCCGTTGTAAAAAAACGGCCGGCCAGGAGCTCTCTAGATCTGAGCGGGCGTCTTTAGACGTCCGCTCAGCTACGCCCCCTCGGGAAATGCAGATATTTTAAAACAGGCAGCGATGCCCGTTAATATACAAGCGATTGCCGGCGGATCGCTTGTATGAGGTCCCAGGATGTGCGCCCCTCCACGGGGCACAGGCCCCGTCACGCTGGTCCCGGGCTCCGCTGTGCCTGGTGCGAGCCCTGGACCAGCATACTGCCTCTGTCACAGGGGATCAGAGGGAGGTCGGTACACGACCTCCCTCCGGTCCCCTCTCAGCTCTCAGAATGCGAAACTGATGTATGTTACATCACTTCCGTCTTCTTGTGTCACTCTCCAGCTTCAGATGCTGGAGAGAAGCTGATGAAGCTTCTTCAGGGGGGTCCTAGGTGACATTGGGGGTCTTGGAGACCCCTGATGTCTCCATAAAGAGGACCTGTCACATATTTTGCTATCACATAAGGGGGTTTTCTTAGCCCAGTATGTGATAGAATACGGGGCTAAGAAAGTTAAGTGGGGGAAAAAAAATGTAAGTCCCCCCAAAATGTAAAAGTTACAAATAAAAAAGAATTAAAAATGTTTTTTTTAAAGTCCCCCCCATACATGCAAGCATGCAAACAGGCGTCGGGTGCGCATACGTGCGAAAACGACGATTTTGCTCATTGCGCCGCATATGTTACATATCGTCGCGAACGCCAGAATGAGAGCAATAGTTCTAGGGCCATCAATCACTGATAACACTAAACTTTTAAAGCGTCGCCTATGGCCAATTTTGGGTATGGTAGTTTTTTGTTATTTCGCGGTAGCTTGACGTGTTTGGTGTCTATTTACCCGACGTGACCCCGTATTTTATATTTTACCAAAAAATATGGGTAATAATCATTGTTTCCTAATATAATGGGGGGAAAAAACATTTTTTCCCAAACAATTTCAGTAATTTCTCCTGAATATAGTAAAAAATAAAACCCCCAGTGGTGATTAAATACCACCAAAAGAAAGCTCAATCTGTCCCCATAAAAGGATATAAAACTAATTTCAGTACAGCGTTGCATGACGGAATAAACGTCAGTCAAAGTACCGCAGCGCTGAATACTGAAAAATGGCCAGGACAGGAAGGGGGGTCTAAACACCTGGTCTTGAAGTGGTTAATGCCACCTTGTGCAGAAACCGTTATGTTTTCCAGTGTTGAACCAATCCTCTTTGTATCTGTTAGCATGAAATGATCATTTATTGGATGTAAAAGGTTCATGCAGTTAGCAAATTGGGGATCACCAATGAAGTGCAGTTTTTTTTTGTTTTTGTTTTTATAACACTCTGTTTTGCCTGCTTCTGTGCTTTGTTGGATAGTATAATGCTAAAAGAACCAGGCATGATTTGCTTCAATCTGAATATTCAACATTAAATAAGTGTAGCTTACTTCATTAGTTTTACTTACGCCGTCTCACATGATTGGTTCTCTTTACATTTTATACTATTGTAGGTCCCAGAGCTGAATCCTAGACTGAATAGTACACTTTATACTCCTCCTGTATACTGGTAGTTGGATATAAAAGCAGTGTTTGGATTACAAGGCCGCCCACTGTATTTTAGCTTTGTGTGGGTGCTGGCAAGTTGAATCCATTTAGAAGTCTTATATCCCTTGCGACTCCTGTGGCATGAGATCTAAAATAGAATGCAGCTTGAGCCATAACAATGTGTTCTGTTCTAATGTTTTCCCACTGGATTTTCTATAACTTGGATAATAACTAGGGCACTCTAGCAGCTTAAGAGTTAAGCTGTGGAAAAGGCAGGGGGGCTTATTTCTACAGGGTAAGCTTGCCATTGACATTACCAAAAGCCACTAGGTGTTTTAACCCATTTGGGAACACTGACAGCTAAAAGTAATCACTTGATAGTAGTACTTTGATCTGAATTCATTACTGAAAAAATGTTTCAAACAAATATATATTGCCCTGCAAAGTTTTTTTTTTTTAAAGTTTCCCCTAATCACTTAAACATCATGTTTCCAAACAGCTGGCTTCAACTCTCTCGGCTCCACTTCCCTGAACTTCCTGCCCAGTACAAGATCTGAAGAGACAGCACAGCTGTCCAGAGGAGGATAGGGGAGCAGGGATGAGGGGATAGGTTTACCTTGCTGTCCCTGTGTGTTAGTGGAGAGACACACAGATTACTAGCACACACAAGGGTGGCTTCATAGGAACCTGCAAGGGTAAGGAGCCCCCTAAAAAAAGGTATCGGGGCCAGTGCTCAGGGGACCAGCTAATTCTGGAGGAAACTGAAACATTTAAGCATCAAGGAGCAGCATCCATTGTAAGTGATTTTAATCAGTTTGAAATAACTTTTGACTATGATATCTAGGGATGCCCTAATACCGTATTTCTCGGAATCGAGTACCGATATTTTATTTTTTTACGGTACCTGCTGATACCGAATACTGATACCGGAAGTCTCATTAAGGAAGCTGGGGGGCGTGTAATGACTCGCTGCCCGGCTTCCTGATTAATCGAGAAGCTGTCTCCATGTTCCCTCATCACCAGGTGACTAGGAAACATGTAGCTGGCTTTCTGGCCAATTGGAAAGCTGGGCAGTGTTTAATGACTCGCCTCCTGGCTTCCTGATACCGTAAGTTCCGGTATGGTATCGGCAGCATTTAGGGGAGTATGAGAACTCTGGGGATGTTTCTTTCTTAACCCTTGCAGTTGCGCTACTGCCACACTGCAAGGGTTAAGTTCTCATTTTTGTATAGGTTCAAAAATAACAGTTATTCTCGCCCGATCTGTTACAGCAATGATCTGCCCCTCAACATCCCTATGTTTTATACACATTGTATAGAACGTGATGACTTGGGGACCTTTGACAGACTGCTGCAACAAGGGGTAGCGTGGTGGAAGGGACTGGTCTTAAAGCAAGCCAACTCCGAAGATCAGGTGAGTATAACTTTGTTATTTTTGAGCCGAGACAAAAATGAGCATTTGAACCTTACACTGTGGGGGTAGCTTCAGTGCAAGGGTTAATAATAATTTTCCCTGGAGTTCTGCTTTAAAATATAAAGGTTACCTTTTTTAAAACCACTGTTTACTGGGTATGCTAAAACCATTCAGAGCCAGAGAAATCCTTATTATTCCTAACTGCATATATGTAATGAATTTACAAAGTCCTTTTTATGTTGTAATTTTATGAGCATAACAACAGGAAGCAAGGGACAGGATTGCATAATAAAAAATGGTTTTGTTGTGTCATATGAGTTGGAAAGAATGTAAACATCACAGAGCAGAGTTGCAGTTGGGAGCAGTTCTAGCTTTATCACAAGATCTTTACACAGATGATAAATGTATCTGCTGCGAATGAGGAACTCGCACAAAACACACAACTTGTAAATACATCCAAACAGTAGCGGTTCAGGAAGAGCATGTCGTTGTATCGGCTACAACAGCAAGTCTTGGTTGCAGCGTATGTCCAGGCCAAAGGTGTTATTTTTACTTTTGCATAGTTTCGGGAAGGATGAGAACCTCTGTTGGGTTATTGCTATCCAGCCAGGGAGATTCTCCCTCACTTACTCCTCACTTACTGCCGCTGTGACTGGTTCACTAGACAGGAAGTGAGGACATTTCCCCAACAGAGGCTCTGACGGCAGAAATATTGTGTCAGGAATTCTAACCCTTGCTCACTCTAGCCAAAACTAAAAAAAAAGTGCAAAGGTCTTCTGAGTGTTTTAACCCCTTCATGACTGAGCTTGTTTTTGGTTTCTGTTCGTAAATGACTGACACACTTTTGACATTTTTGCTGTGTGATTCTTCCACGTCAGTAATATACTTTCTTACAAAGTGCACCCACACATATTATATATTGTTTTTTAGAGGACAGATAGGGCTATATATTTATATCACATATGTGTGTCTAACGCCTCACTTAGGACAAATACAAATTAAAAAAAAAGGAAAAAACGTAAAAAAAAACTTTTTTTCCCAGTTTTGATTTGTAGTATTTTTTTTTTAACAAAACCAGCACAGCTAAAAAAAAATGCAATACATACATTCATTTATTTGTCCCTTATTTTTTATTTTTTTACACTTTTCACTATTTTTTTTAATTTATTTACACTTTTCACTTTTTTTATACTGACAAATTTTATTTATTTAATTATATCAGGCAGTCATTGTGAATTAATCTCACTATTACTGCTTGA